ATATAGATATATACAAATATACACACATATATATATACATACATATATACATATATAAAAATACATATATACACATATACACATACATATATATATATAGACATATATATACACGTATATACATATATATATATATATAGATACATATATATACATATAGATATGTACATATATATATATAGATATATATATATATAGACACATATATATATATATATATATATATATATATATATACATACATATATATATATATATATATATATATATATATATATATATAGAGGCGGGCGGGTTGTGGTGGGCGGGCGGACTCACCGAACAGGGAACGGGATGAACGAGTGGGACGAGTGGGATGAAGGAGCGGTATGGACGAAAGGGATGATCAGACGGGATGAAGGAGCGGGTTGAAGGAGCGGGTTGATCAAACGGGATGAAGGAGCGGGTTGATCGAACGGGTTGATCGAACGGGATGGGGTTGAAGGAACGGGTTGAAGGAACGGGTTTCGCGTGGACGAACGAACGGGTTTGGACGAACGAACGGGTTTCGGGTACGGTTTGTGCTTCTGTTTGACTTTTGTTTTGCCACCACTCGACTCCTTCACTGGATTCGGTGGTCAATTCCTTCAATTCGGTATGTCAATCATTTTTGCATCATTCTCAATATCCTTGGCCCGCTTTGCGGGCTCTTGGCTTGAGATGATGAACTCTCAAAACTCACCTGTGTTTCTGACAACGGCACGAGTTAACAGGCGTGACCATATGATTACACCTTTGACCGAGTATTCTGATCTAGCCACCTCTCCCGCCCACGGGGGAGCTTGATAGGGGGGGGGGGTGCGAGGGGGTGGGCTCGCCTCTGGCGGCGACCGAAGATTTTTAACTTTGGTCACATCCACCCTCCCCACCCTCCCCCTCTCCCCCTCCCCCCTCCCCCCCTCCCCCCTCCTCTTCACCCATCAGCGCAACCCACTCACCACCTCTCCCACTACTACGTGTTTGAATATCCAGCTCCTGACAACGCAGCCCTTTGTGGTGCGCTTGTTGCTGCGTCCAAAGACCGTCCAATAAGGTATGTTTACAATTGAGGGCAGCAATTTGTTTGTGTTTGTGGCCAACCCACTGGCGCACAGCACAGCACGTTTTTTCTTTCTCTGCCCACCCCACCCCCACCCCCACCCCCACCCCCACACACCACCAGTCCTCGGGCGAGGACGTGCACATCGGAATGATTACACAAAAGGGAATATAACCATTGAGAGGTTTCCATCTGAAACGCGGAACAAAAAATATTGAGCACCGCTGTTTAAGAAGAACACACGGTACTGTCTGACCTATGTCCATTCTCGCCCTCGCGAGCGGCAGCGGCGGCAGACGCAGCAGTGCGACGCACGACTCACTTTGCATGCGGATGACATGTGGCGAGAACAGGATCGGCAAAGTGTACGTGAACAGCGCCGGCATGACATGATGACGGCGGTGGCCCGGAGCAGAGCATGGGATGATGACTATCATATTATCTCTAGTACACACGAGGACATCTGATATCTTTGACGAGACACATCTCTCTGACCATGCTCTGCTTCATGCAGAAAGCGCAGCCAAAGCGCGCCGCGGGCGGTGGAGACTCACATGCAGGCGGGAATGAGAATAGGGAGCAGCAAAATGGCACCAAAGACCAAGTCTGCATGGGAGTGGCGCGCGTTTGTGCCCGGCGGTGCGCCGCCGGTCACCGGGTGGCCGTTTGAAGTCCAGTGGAGCGTCGACGCTGAGTCGCGCTCGGACTGGTATCTGCCGCTCGGCGCGATGCTTGGGCTCAAGCTCCGGGGCGTAGACGTCGAGGCTGGCTCGAAGCGTGCTCGCAAGCGCGCCCGCAAAGTGAGCAAGACGTTGCGCAAACTCGCCGCCGGCGAGTCGGTAAAGCGCAAGAAGTTGACCAAAGCACGCGGATACAAGCTGGAGCTCGAGCTCAAGATCCGCCGCGAGCGCGACGAGGTCTCGGGTGCCGAGCTGTGGGAGAAGTTCAAGCTCGGCCCGTTCAAACTCGGCAAAGCTGGCTCGCCCAACGCACTCGCCAAGCGCATCCGCAAACGCTTGCCCAAGAAGGAGCCTGCTCGTGCAGTCCTGCTTGACCTGCTCGCCAGCCTCGACCTCGACGCCTCGCCGTGGGTCCGCATCTCCAAGAACCGCATCCAGGGCGAGCCGACCGTCGACGGTGTCCGCAAGGTCGGCCGTGCGGCGCTTGCCCTCGGCCCCGATCCGGCGCTGGCCGCGCTCCTCGGTCTCTCGCCTCCCACCGCCACGAGCGACCCGCTCCAGTGGGCCACCTTTGCCCTCGAGGGTGCCGAGCTCGATCCGGTCGCCGCTGCGGCCGCCGACGTTGCCCACCTCGCCTTCGACGGCCTCATCCACGGCTACCCCGCTGCGGTCATGGCCGCTGCCGGTGTTGTGGATGATCGCTCTGCCAGCAGTAGTTCCAGTAGCAGCAGCAGCAGCAGCAGTAGCCATTCCAACGACCCTTCGAGTACATCGGACACGAGCGAGTCGTCGTCATCGTCGTCATCATGAATGAATGAGAGCGAGCCCGTAGCGCTGGCGGTCTGTGGCGTGTCTCTGTGTGCGGCCGATTCACGTTGCGGCTTTAGCCCGGCCCGACCTGTCCAACCTTCCCTGCACCCGACTCGCTGCGACGGGTCGCCGACGCCTCGGGGCAGACTCTCACCATGCTTGCCATGGTTGCTACCCTCACAGACGTCGTGGGAGCGGTGACGGGCGCGTGGGTGCGATGGCTGGCAAGCATGTGGCCCGGGTGGGCGGGGAGCGATGCGGGCGGCGGTGACGCCGCTGCCGACCACGATGGGCTCGATCCGGGATGGGACGAGGACGAGGACGATGCAGCCATGGCGGCCATGGGCGCAGGTCAAGGATTGAAGTGGCTTGGGGCTGGGCTCGGGCCTGGGCCGTGGAGCGTGGCTGACGGCTTGCTGGTGGGGACGGCACGGCATGCCCGTGATGCCGCGCTGCTCCGATCGCTCCGCATCTCGCACATTGTCAGCCTCTCGTCGCAAGGACCTGTCCATGCTGGACTCGGAATCCGCTATCTCCACCTGCCCTTGGCCGACGAGCCAGATGTGGCGCTGCTGGAGGATGCTGCTGCAGCGGGTGTCTTTGACTTTGTCCTCGACGCCCTCGCACGCGGCGATCGCGTCTTGGTCCACTGCAAGCGGGCCGTCTCGCGCTCGCCCACTCTCGCTGCTGCACTCATTGCTCGTCTCCGTGGCGTGTCCGGCGAGGTTGGCCTCGCCACCGTCATCGCCGCCGTACCGCACGCTGCGCCGAACCCGGGTTTCCTCGCGCAGCTCGCAGCGTGGTCCGGCTGACGAGCAGCACAAGCACGGGAGCAAGCGATCTAATCTGGGCAAGCGTGCGCGCGCGCGCGCAAGGGATGACTGCACTCAAGGCTACTGCGATATTGTGCCTGCAGGAGGATGCTCGAGGAGGAGGGAAGGGGCAGGGTGCTGTGGCGGCGATGACGCGGCGCCATCACTAGTATGCCTGCGCCGAGATGAAGTAATATGCGATGCAAGGGGCAGGAGTGGCGTAGTTGAGACCGACCTCCCCCCCCCCCCCGCCCGCCGCAACTGACTGCCGTGGGATGTAACCTGCCCCCCCCCCCCCCCCCCGCCGCGCGGGATGGTGGGCGGTGATCGGTGCGGGCGGGGCGGAGTAGCGCAGCAGGCAAGATGAGTGTGGCGGCGGGCGGCGGGCGGCGAGCGGCGGGCGGCGGGCAGCGGGCGGACTGGGCAGACTAGACGGACTGGGCGGCGGAGCACTCGTCTCCAACCGATGGCATCGCTCCCGCAACGGACCGTGCTTGTCATCCGGGCGCTTGCGTCTCTGGGCAAGCCACAGACGGCCAACAACCTGTTCAAGGTCCTTCCGCGGTCTGTCTTCCCCACCCGGGCCTCCCTGCGCGCTGAGGCGCTTGAGCCCGCCACGGCTATGGGCCTCACCACCAAGACCCGTAAGGTTCTCCCGCGGGTGCCCAAGCGCCCGCGCAAGATGCACCGCCGTAACCCTCACTACGTGTACAACCTCAAGCGTGACAACCCCGGTACGTTTGTGTGTGTGTGTGTGTGTGTGTGTGTGTGTGTGTGTGTGTGTGTGTGTGTGTGTATGGTGTGTGGCTGTGGCGGTGTGGGGCTGTCGCGAGATGGGATCGCTCCGTCAGTCGGAGAGGGCAAGGGATCGAGGGGGGAGGAGCGGGGAAGGGGAGGAGGGGAGGAGGGTGATGAGCATGTTGGGGGGGGAGGAGATGAGTATGATTATGGTGGACGGGAGGGAATAGTCATGTTTGTCGAAGGAGTGATCATACATCTCGTGGGGTGGGCGGGGTGATCATGATGGGCGCGTGCTCGCATCGTTGGTATCGGTGGTATCGGTGGTATCGGTGGTATCGGTCGTCTCAGTCGGATGATGGTCATGATATGTAGTGGCTGTGGAACTCACAGTGATGCTGGTTTTGGGAACGGATGGGCGCAGACGTGGCGGCGGTGCTGGAAAAGTACGCGGCGTCCGATGCCGCAAAGGCAGCAGCAGCAGAGGCTCCGACTACGAGCACGTCGTCGTAGGCGGGCGGGTGTGTGTTAAACTGTTCCCCAAGCGATCTACTCTTCTCCGTCTCCTCCCTCACTTGCATCGGTGCTGGGCCCACGGATGGCGCTGGGGCGGCCGACGTCGGCAACGGCGGGGATGGCGCCCGAGTCGAGAAGCGGAACGAGGGCGGCAAAGCCGCTCGTTCGCTTGGCATTCCACTCGCTAGTGGTGAGCGGAATGGCGACGAGAGATCCGATTGTCCGCGTGTCTTCGGCATCCGAGTCGCGGGCAATCGTGAGCGATCCGAGCCCTCCAGTCTCGCGGACGGGGGGGATGAGGACGTAGCGAGCACAGGTGGTCCAGGAGAGCATTCGTCGGCTCTGACCTTGCCATGACCGAGGCAGATGTACCAACTCGGCCCACTCGGGCCAAGTGGTGTGGTGGCTGTGGTCATGGTCATGGCTATGGCTCTGCGCCGCAGCCCCGCTCGGGTTTAGAGCTGGCCATGAGGTAGGCTGGCTACGACGATTGCGTGACCTTGAAGCGGAAGACGGTGACGCGCTTGCCGAGGAGGTTGGTGGCAACAAGGGTGACCATGCCGGGCGCAGAGAGGGTGAACTTGCCGGTGAACATGGCGTGGGCCTCGTCCGGAAGCTCGCCCTGCTCGATCGACGCGCCGAGGACAGCCGGCGGAAGCACCATGAACTTGGACGGCGTGTCGAGCCGGCCGTGCCGCCGCACCGGCGAGATTTGGGACGCCAGCAGGCTCCGGCTCCGCCGCCCTTTTCTCCGTGCAGGCGTAGCTGGTCCGCGGGAAGACGGCGGGCTCGGCCGGGACGCGCGCTCTAGCGCCGACAGCTGCTTCGGCCCGCTCGTCGCAATGTCATTCGAGTGCTTGAGCGACCGCCGGAGAACGTGGACGAAACCCTTGCCCAGCAGCTCCATCTTGGCGGCGTACGGAAGCCGGATCGAGAACGTGACCGCCGCTCCGAGCTCGAGATACTCGGCGAGCGGCGAGTAGAGGACACATCCCGGCGCAAGCCGGGTCAGTGCTAGCTTGGGGAAGCCACAGAACGCCGGCGTGAGCTCGCGGACACGTGCCGGTGCCCGTGCCAGGCTCCGCGCCGAGCCCAGGAGCGACGCTGACGACGATGCGCCCAGCATCGGCGGGACAGGCCGTGTCGGCTGGATCCGGTATTGCAGCACACGCGTGGCGTCGTCCGGAAGCGCGGCGTTGCGCGGCGCTGCCTCGCGTCCGGCCAAGTCGCGTCCGTACAGCTCAAGCATGTACTCACGATCTAGCGACGGCAGCCGCACCTGGACCGTCCACAGGTCGTGGCTCGCCGACTGGACAAGGACCCACGACGAGTCGGCAAAGGCCTCGGCAAACGAGTCGCCGAGTGCCATCATCCGGTACGCACCCGCTAGCCGCAGCCGCCCCGCCAGCGCAATGTCAAAGCCCGAAAGGCCCGACGCTGCGTCGAACCGGAGATCAAACGAGAACAGCGTCTCGGCCGGCCGGAGGACGCAGCCCTGCTGTCGTGGCGGATCCAGTCCGTACAGCCACAACAGCGGCGTGGCGCAGAGTGCGGCATCAAACTCGTCCAGCGCACGCACGTTGCGCTCCTTGTCCGCAACCTGCGGACCGGCGAGTGCATAGTGCGAGGCTGCCACCGCTCGCGGCGGCATGTCAAAGTAGAACAGCGCCGCAGGCGGCGACTGCGCCGCAGGCTTGAGCCCGGTCCGCGCCGCTGCCGCCCACGTCGGATCCATCGACAGAACTCCCCTGTCTTCGTCGCTCAGCGCCATACTCAGCCAATAGTGGTCGGGCGCGGTGTCCTCAAACGACGCACCGGCCTCAAATCCGTACTGCTTTGCAAAGCCAAAGTTGAGCCCTACCGCCGGCCGCAGCTCCTTGGGCGCCGCGCCGAGAAGCAGTGCCACTAGCGAGGCGAGGCCGAGCGACGTTGCCTTGCGGCTTGAGAGCGCCGAGTTCGCCGCGGCCTGCATCGCCGCCGCCGACGGCGACGCCTCCAGCCCGCCGGGATCACTCGACAGAAAACCGTCTTCGTCAAAGGCAATATTGCGGGAGACCCAGCAAAAGACGACCCAGGCAAGCGAGCGCTGGGTTGGCGCAAGCGGCGCTGCTATGGTGCGTGCGACGCCAACAAGGCCGCTGGCCAGCGAGGCGAGGTCGGTGCTGGCCTCGCGAAGCTCGCTCGGCCAGGCCACCACTTCTTCGGCCACAAATGTGGCTGCCGGCGTCGCCGCGGTCGCCGCGTTGGGAAGGCCGCTCGGGCAGTATGACGGCGAGAGCGCAGTGTCAGCCCGCGCCACCGCAAGCGACGAGGTAGCCAACAGTGGGAGACGGAGCGAGCGCGACGACGAGCCCGCCGAGGTCGTCGGCCGCGACGTCGGCGGCGTCTCGCCATCCACAACCATGTCCGTCGCCGGCTTGGGGAGCGAAAGCGCAGACTCGCGGACAAAGATACCGCGCTCGGAAGGGCACTCAAAGTAGGTGCGGCCCTGAAAGGTGCCGTCGTGCATGCCGTCGCGCGTGTCGAGCTCGAGGCCGACCCACACGCCCGGCGCAAAGTGAGTCTTGCCCATAAAGCGGATGGTGCCGCGGCGGCCGTTGGCAACCACGTGCTTGCCAATCATCGACGAGTAGTACGCCTTCTTGGCCTTGCGGCGCGCGAGAGCGCGGACCATCGGCGGGCGCGAGTCGACCTCGCGCGGCGCGGGCGGCGCAATCGGGCTCGCCTGCTTGGACGCCGACGGCGGCGCGGTTTGCGGCCGCGACCGCGGCGTCGACTTGGGCGAGCCGACAATGTGGTGCGGCTGACGGGTGTTGCGCTCGGCCTTTTCCGAGTAGTGCTTCATGAGCGCTTCGCGGGTGGCGAGGGTGATGGCGTCGCGGCGGGCAAAAAGCGCGTGGCCGACCTCGCAGCTAAAGTACTGCTCACCCATGATCGAGCCGTCGGCCGGGCCGACTGTACGGTACAGGTTGGCGTCTGTGGAGCAGACCGAGAGGATGTCGGCGACGCGAAAATCGAGGCGGATGCCATACCAGGTCTCTGACTCGGGCGCGCCCTTGAGCGTGCCGATGTACTCGAGCGTGCCGATGCGGTGGGCAACAATGACCCGTGCACCGACAACCAGCTCCGTTTCTGCCCGCAGGCTCTTCTCAAACTCCTGCGCCTGCCGGAGCGTCCTGCGGCGGAAGGAGCGCTTCGGATCGTAGGTGAGCTCGACGTCGCCCTTGCGGACAAAGACGGCGCAATCGGGGCGGGTCTTGAAGTACGTCTTGCCGGCCCACGACCCGTTGCACATGCCCCTCGGCTCGACCAGCTCCAGACCCAGATACACCCCAGCTCCAAACAGGGTCTTTCCAATGAACCGGATGTAGCCCCGCGCGCCCTGCCAGAGCACCTCGTCGCCGAGCTTGAGCGACCGCGGGTGGTCAGGCGCCGCCGGTGGGGAGACCGCCGCCTGTGTCCGTGCCGGCGGGAGAGCCACCCTGTGTGCCGGGGAGTAGTACGACATGCAGCAGAGAGGGACTACCCACAAGCAAGTGGGCCGTGTATGTAGTTGGCTTCCTGGCTGTCTGGCTGTCTGGCTGTCTGGCTATCGCTGGCAGTGGCAGTGGCTGGCGTGGGGTGGTCCACTGCTCTGCTGTCTGCTGCCTCTTCCCGCTCGCCGTTTCGTCCAAAAGTTGATGCGCTTGGCGCGAAGGAATTGGCTTGGCCGAATTGGCTCGCACTCGCTCGCCTGCTCGACCGCTCCTCCCGCTCGCATTGCGGCTTGATGTGGAGGCGATCGGGTGCTTGTTCGGACGGGCGGGGCTAGACTACGTGGTACGGCTCGCCCATCGCTGTCCTCACGAGCTTGAGCACACATCCCGACGGGTTGGCCTCCACCGGGCCGGCCCACTTTCATCGCTCGTTCAGATCAGCGCTACCTAGCGCCTTTGTCGTGCGAGCGATCAAATCCTTTGTCGCCGTCTCGTGGTCGTTGGCGTCCATCGGGAACCGCTCGACGATCGTGTGTGGATAAGCTCGAGCGAGGCTGTCCGCCATAATGAACCGGAGGCGCGGCTGGCGACAAGTATGTGGATCACAGTTTAGCTCAAGGTAGTGCTGCTGTTGTCGGCCGGGGGGGAACGTCGGTGGCGGGACCGGGGCAGACGGCGAGCGCTGCCGAGTCGAGCTCGATCTCCTCGGCATTTTCGATGGCGTGGAGGGCGTTGTCCTCTTCCACATCAAGGACCTCGAGAGAAGTGAGCGACCAGATGAGGGTGGTGATGGTGGCGAGGAGCGCAAAGGCAAAGCAGAGGCCGACAAGCACCTGGATGGCCATCCATTGGCCATCAGAGATGCTCCTCCCGCCACGAGCAAGGAACATGACACCGATGAGGATCACCGCCGCCACGCAAAGCAGGATTGACTCCAGCACGTTGTGCTGCTTGTACATGAATGGCCGCTTCCACAACTGCGCCACGAGCGAGACGAGGACTACTGTGAGTGCCAGCACTGCCGCCACCATCGGCCGCGAGGAGAAAAACATAATGGCCCCGACAAAGGTGAACTTGCGCGCGGTGATGACTACCTCCCACACCGCAAACCGCCGGTGGAACTTGTACAGGCCAAGCTCGTCAAAAGCAGACGTCTTGCGGAACCAGAAGATCGCGACCGGGACACCGAGACCAAACCCGACGGCCACAACCAGGGCCACCAGCGCCATCGCTACCCACCACCCTCCGGAGAAGCAGACCCGCGACGGTTCGGCATCGAGGTGGTACGATCCATCGAGCTGCCGAGTGCAGTCGAAGATTTCCAGCGTTCGTGCGAGCAGGCCAGCGTACATAAAGAGCGTGCTCGTCACCGCCATTGTCCGGGTCCGCGCCAGCCGGGTCGCGCCGTACGCCACCCACAGCATGCCGATGAGCGACAGCCGCCCAGCCACACCCAGCATCCACTTGGTGGTGTAGTCAAAGGCATCCGACGAGCACTCTGCCGCCATGAGATCAAGGTTAAAGTTGGCAATGCCCAGCAGGTCAAAGAGGAGCAGGTTGGCCGACGACCACCGGACGTCGAGGCTGCGGAGAATAGCCACCAGCTGCGCGTATGCGAGGAACACCGCGCCAAGCGTCAGGTGCGATCGCAGCCGTGCAAACATCAGGCGCGCTTGACCCTTGAGATCAAGCTTAATGTCGATGTACGCAAAGCTAACAAGGACTGCGACCATAACAAGGACAAAGATTACCAGCAAAAGGAGCTTGAACGCTTGCGTTCCGCTGCTGGGGCAGCCCTCGCACTCGCCGGACTTGCGATAGTAGCCCTTGGCGCACTGCGAGCACGCCTCGCCCTCGTATCCGGTCCCGCACACGTTGTTGCCCGGACACGCCCGGAGCGACGCGCACCGCAGCATAAAGTCTGGATTGCGACTCGACGGCACAAAACCCGGTTGCGAGAGGCAGAACTCTGAGCCAGGCCCGAGTGTAAACGCATTCGGGTCGCACGTCGCGCACTGAGGCGTTCCGATTCGACGCGCAAAGGTGCCTTGATCGCAAGGGCTGCACACCAGCTCGCTCCCGACCACCACCGATGAGTTGCCCGGCCCGCAACCGAGGCAGGCCGGTGACGAACCTGGCAGAAAACCTTCGCGACACCCAAACTCGAGGTTGTAGTTGAGCGCATACAGTCCGCTCTCGGTGTACGGCGTCGCCGGCGGGTTTGCATCCAGGTAACCGGCAACATAGATGGTGAGGAGTGAGCGCCCGGTGCTGTCGGCGCGGATCTCGGCCTCAAACGCGCGCGAGACCGCACCCTCGTGCCCGTGGGACGGAATCTCGAAGATTGAAACTAGGCAGTTGAAGACGTCAAGCGAGCGCGCAAATGAGCAGTCCTGGACCACAATTGAGTCGCTTGGCGGAAGACCGTTGATGCCCGGTTGGACAAAGTAGATGAGGACCAGCCGGTCGCGTAGGCCATCGTAGAGCAGCCGAAAAGCGGAATCAGTGCCCTCGTCGTAGCCCTCGAACCATGGAAAGGCATCGATGCGCCGGGTGAATGTCGACGGCTGGCTGTGGTCGCTTGTGGACGAGATATGAACGAGAAAGAGCGAGATGAATCCTGGACCAAACTCGTCGCGGTGGAGAAGGATGACGTCGCCCGACGGGAGAGTGGTCAAGTGTGGGTCGACTTGGAGGGTAAGGTCCAGCCCCGCAGCGGCGCAAGTCACACTGGCAGCGGTGAAGGGCTCGATGCCAGTGCAGACAAAGGCATCGGTTGTAATTCTCCTCGGCGAAGAACTGGGATCTTCTATCGCCAGCAGAAGGACAGCCAGCCGCTTCAAAGTGCCCGGTGCCATGACGATGGTCGCATCTAAGAGCCGGACCGAGCCGGTCACGCTGGCCGGGAGCATGGAGGAGGTGACCAGGGTACAGGGCGTCCTCGTCTCGCAGTAGGTCATGCCATGCGATGAAAAGACGAACCAGCCGGCGCTGCCCCGGGCCGGATCGCGGACGACTGCTGCAATGTCAAGTGGCGGCGCCGGTGGCGGCGGCACGGTGTCCGATGCATCCCACGACGGCCTATTGATGCCGCAGACTGGCGGCGCAGTCGGGCTGTACTCGATGAGATCTTCGCCGTACGCCAGTGCCACGCGAGCAGTTGTGCCATCAACAACGTAGCCAAAAGCGAGTATGTCGCCTGCGGCCGGAACCATCACCGAGTTGTTCCGGTTGGCCTGGGCGAGGAAGACCGAGGCGTATTGCTCGGGCGGCGCCGTGGAGGAGGTGCAGGGATCGACGGTGGTTGCCATGTCCTTGGCAAACTGAGTGAGCGGATGCTCCAAAGAATCGATCGCACCGGCCTGCATCACGATGGCGTTGATATCGGTGCCTGACTGCTGTCTGACGACAGTGAGGAGTGCGCCACCGCTGCCAGCGATGGCGGTGGACCAGAGCGACGCCGCCGAGTTGACGAGGCTGTTCATGGGCAACCCGACGTAACGGGGCAGAGGCATGTTGGGTGAGCCATCGCCATCATCCGGCATTAACACATATCCAATGGCTGTACCATCTAGGGCCCATGAGCCCTGCGACGGGTCGTCCACCACCGTCGACGGCGGCCGCGGTGGCGTCTGCCCATGGGCCAGAGGCAAAGCAGCAGCGAGGACGACAATGACGACGAGTGCGAGGGAAAGACGGGCACATGAGTGGCGAAGGAGTGTATGTGACATGTCGATGCGAGAGAGTGAGTGTGTGTGAGCGTGTGTGTGTGTGTGCGTGAACGAGCACGGGAGGTGAGGTGCTGAAGGAGCGGGAGCGGAGTGTCGGCGTGGGTCGTGCCTGTTTGCACGCGTGCAGCAGGAGTCCAAATGCAGTGGCACGCCAACTAGGGCGGCGTGTGTGTTTGGGGCAGCTGTTATGTTGCTGATGGCACGTCAAAGAGCTTTCCGTTGAGCACGACGAGGTCGGAGGAGAGCCGTTCGAGGCGGGTGCTACCATCGAGCGACATGAGCGCGAGCTCGGGCGGGAGGTCGGCGAGGGCAAAGAGAACTCGGCCACGATCAGGGTGATGGAGCTCGCAGAGCGGAATGCCGTCGGCCAGCGGTGCGCCCACGGCGGCCTCGAGGAGGGCGACAGCGTCGGCCTCGCCTCCTGACACCTTGGGCGAACTCGCGAGGCTCTCAGTGAGCTCTGGGGCCGAGTGCGCAAAGGGGTTAAGGTCCTGGACCATGGCCGACTGGAAGAGGCTCGATGTGGTCCGCATCCGCGGCGAACGCGGCTCGGACCGTGCCGACGTGTCGGATCGCTCACCGGGATCGCCGTCCATGTCCACGATGAGATCACAAACCTCGGTGCCACCGCTGCCGCCACCGTCGGTGACCGAGATGGTAGGCGGCTCGCCGAACGACGACGGAGAGCTCGGCGGCGAGGGAAGCCTGATGCGATCCGAGAGCCCACCAGCAATAACGTTGATGTCGGTGTCTGTCACCCGTACCACCAGCGAGCCAGCATCTGCGCGGTATACCTCACCTACAACCAGATCATCTAGCGAGAACAGCAGCCTTCCGGAGCGGCCAGCAGCGTTCCCAGCCGGGACCAGTCGGACGCCCTGGCTCTCTGCAGCCTCCAGGGCAGCCATGTCAGCCTTCAAAGCAACCATGTCTGCATCATTGAGTCCAGCGGCGGTAGACGACGATAAAGCCGTGGGCGTAGGCGAAGAAGTGGCAGTGACAGTGGCGCTGGTCGGAGTGTTGGAGGTGGCGCTGGTGAGGACGGCTGGCCGGCCGCAGGCTACCGTCGGCGTGCCGTCACCGAGGTCCATGTCCCGTCCGAGGCAGTCAAGGGAGGCAAAGGCGGAACGTGGGTAGGCGAGTGGTGGTGGTGGTGGTGGTGGTGGTGGTGGTGGTGGTGGTGGTGAGAGGGAGTGAGGTGGTGGTGGTCTCGACCGTCTTGCCTCGTGCCTCCCTTGCCAGGTCACTTGTGGCTGGCTGGGCAAGTCGCCGGGCAGGGGAGCCAGGCCAGGCACAGTTGCAGGTTTTCGGGCCATGGTATGGATGTGGGGATCGATGTTCTGTTTGCTTGGTATTGGTATTGGTATTGGTATTGGTATGGGTATGGGTATTGGTATGGGTATTGGTACTGGTAGCGGGAGGGTCGGCATGTGTATGGCCGTAACTGTGACGGCAGCTCGTTTGTCTTGATGATGATGGCGACGATGACGACGATGATGATGATGATGATGATGATGATGATGATGATGCGGTGGCAATGCGCCGGAATGGAGGTACGGTTGACAGATGTCGACGTGTCACTATGGGTGAGCTGGTCTGTCGTGGCTTGCGATGCGAGCAGACCGGCCGGCGCAATGGCTGCATGTCAAGCAAGTCGGCAGTCGCAGATGCGTGGAGGAGGGGGGCTGGGCCTGGTACTGGTTCTGGTTGTGGGGTACGGGGATAGGAGGCGATACTTGACCCGCCCCATTGCAGCAACCAAACTCTACCGAGCGTCTCTCCATGGCCGAGTCATACTTGCCCGAGTTCGAGGGCTTCTTCCAGGACGAGGCCAACTGTGTGTGTGCCGATTGTGGCGCGGCCGGTACGGAACAACGAGCTGGACCAAGCGAGGCCGAGCGAGGCTGAGCAGGGCGTGTGTGGGGGGAGACGGGCGACTGACTGGGAGGGTATGGTAAATATCGGGTTGCGGGCGACAGATCCGAGGTGGGCGTCGACGAATCTGGGCGCTGTGGTCTGTATCGAGTGCTCGGGCGTCCATCGCAACCTCGGGGTCCACATCACCAAGATGCGATCGGTGGTGCTGGATGATTGGGAGAGCGAGATGCTCGAGGCGTTTCTGGCCAAGGGTAATGCGGTGGTCAATGCCGAGTACGAGGCCGAGGTGCCCGAGGGGTGGATCAAGCCCGGCCCGGACGCGTCGCGGGCAGCGCGGACCGATTGGATCTCAGCCAAGTACGCCAACAAGGCGTTTGTGCCAGGCAACGAAACGCTGCCACGGACCGAGGCCGAGAACGCCGAGCTTGCAGCGCGTGGAGCGAGTGAGGAGACTGCCGCCGGCGGACTCACGGCCATGCAAGAGTACATCGGGACGGTGGCTGTCGAGCTGCTCGAGGGCAAGGATCTGGTGGCGTGCGACGTGAGCGGCAAGTCTGATCCGTACGTCAAGTTCTCGCTCGGGGCGCAGCAGCTCAAGTCGAAGATCAAGAAGAAGAGCCTTAACCCGGTGTGGGGCGAGACCTTTATGTTTTGCGTCCCGCACTTTGGCGCCGAGCTCCATCTCGACGTCATGGACTGGGACAAGCTCTCTGCCGACGACTCGATGGGCTCTGCCAGCGTGGCCATCACCGAGGAGATGGAGACCGAAGGCGGGCACTCTGTCTGGGTCGATCTCAACAACACCAAGTCCGGCTCGATCCATCTGCGGCTGACGTACACCTCGCTGGTTCATTGATGGGAAGAGCGAGCGTGATAAATGTCGTGAGAGCGTGTGTGTGGGCGGGAGGGTGTGTGTGTGTGTGTGTGGGGGGGGGGTGGCTGGGCGGCGACACTCGACTGTCGACGACGAGCAGGCGACAGACGACGGCAAGCGGGATGGAGACACTACGGGAGCGCATCAAGATTGACAGTGTTCGCGAGGCGGCGGACGGTGGTGTGCCAGCTGGTGACGGTGGTGTGCCAGCTGGTGACGGTGGGGCGGGAGGCGGTGGACAGCCGGAGAGCCGGGGAAAGAAGGGCGGCGGCGATGGGAAGAAGGGTCCTCGGCCGCGGCCTGCGCTGATGGCGAGCAAGCTGGCAAACTCGGTGAAGGAGTTCTTCAAGAAGGGGTTTGCGGGATCAGGCATGGTCAAGGCGACGGTGACCGGCAAGGCAGGGCCGACGGCGGACGTGGCGCTGACGTCCTCGATTGCAGCGCGCAAGCCGGCGCTCAAGACCGATCTCAAGGTCAAGCACACGTACAAAGCGGCGGGTAATGAGAGCAGCGAGAGCGACGAGGAGAGGAGCGGCAAGCCACCGCGGCCATCGGGCCTTGTCTCGATTGGTGGCTTGCACTACGACGGCAGCGCCAAGCCGGGCCAGCCGGCGAGGTGGTGGAGCGGATCCAGTAGCCTCTACCACGCCGGCTCGGGCGCAACCTTTGTGCTTGCGCGCGACATGAAGGCCGGGCACGAGTCGCACGGCCTGCGGCTCGAGGCCAAGTACCGGTCGGAGCTGGCCAAGGGCGTGACGGTCTCGGTTGCGACGACGATGGCGCTGTCGTCGCTGCCGTTTGCTGCGACCAAGGCGCCGGGCGCCAAGGGTCAGCTCAAGGCCCAGGCGACGATGACAGCCCACGGCGCTGATGCCAACGGCTCAATCACGGCCAAGGTTGAGAGCGGAAGAAGAGCCTCGGTCTTTGCCGAGGGCCTTGTGGGGCTGGTGGCGCGGCGGGCGGCCGACGGCACGGCGATGGCGCACGACCACGTTTCAGTTGACTCGCACTCGCTGGTCCTTGGCGTGGCGGGCCACGCCGATGTGTGGCGGGCGGCAACAGGCGGCGAGGGCGCAACGGGCGGATCCGGCGCGCCGGCGGTGGCGGCGTCGGCATCGTGGTTCCCGGCCAAGGCCGAGGTCTCGCTTGGCTGGCTTGACAAGCGAGCGGAGCACTACACCTTTGTGGCGCTGGCCAACGGCGAGGTGGTGCAAGGCGGGTTCCGGACGGTGGCGACACCGATGCCGCGGCTCAAGCTTTTTTCGCAGTTTGTGGTCGAGAAGCCGCGGCAAGCCGGAGGCGGCAAGGCGCGACCGGCGAGCAACAAGGCTGGCGGAGGTGGCAAGCCACAGCGAGAGGCAGCCCAGCCAGCGACGCCGTCGTGGCTGGCGAGCCAGTTTCCGGTCCTCCCGATGGGTCTGCTTCAGATCGGCGCCGAGCTGTCAGTCTCGCGCGATGCCAAGCTCAAGGCACGGGTCGACACCGACGGCAAGGCTGCGGTGGCGGTGTGGGCCAAGCTCTCGCCGGCGGTGACTGTGGCGGCGGTGGCGTCGGGCTCGCTGGCGCGGCCGAGCCACGAGCTTGCCATGGGACTCGGCTTCATCTTTAAGCTGTAGGCCGGCGAGACCGGAGGGCGCTGAGCTTTATCTTCAAGGTCGAGCCAGCAGACTAGGCGTTCGGGTTCTCGTTGGTGCCCTCGTCGTCGTCGTTAGCGGCGTCGTCCTCTGCAGCAGCACCGCCACCGAGGGCCGCCAGACGGGCGGCGATGTCGTCGGCGGCGAGCTCGTGGGCCGGCGTGTCCTTGCCAACAATCATGATGGATGCGTTCTCAGCAGTGAGCTCGGTGTCACCCGCCGTCTCGCGCAGGGCAGTGAGGGCATGGGTGATGAGCTCCTCGAGCGAGGCATCAGCAAACGTCTCATAGTGGCGCTCAAGGTAGGTCCGAGCAGACTGGGAGCGGGCACCGATGGCCTGAGCCCGAAAGTCGTACGCCGAACCAGATGGCGAGGTCTCAAACAGATGCGGGCCCGACTTCTACTCGTACGAGAGGAGGGGGTGGGTGGGGGGTGGGGGGTGGGGGTAGTGGGGGTGAGTGGCAGTGGTGGTGGCGGTGTGTGGTGTGTGGCGGGTGCAAGGCGACCTGTTTTTGGGCCGGGCGACCAAGGCAGCGGGAGGGGAGGGCAAGTGGGAGGAAGGGGAAGGGAAGGGGGTGGAGTGGAGGGGAGGGGAGGGATGAAGAGGAGGGAGAGAACGTACGTCGTAGCCGGCGACCAGGAGGCCGACGCCGTAGGGGCGTGAGGAATAGTCCTGGGTGTGTGACTGGGCCTTGTCGGCGAGGTCGGCGACGAGGGTGGCGACCTGGAGCGGCGAGTCGAAGACATACTTGTTGTTGAGGCACTCTGTGCGCATGTACTTGATGAGCAGACGGGCATCGGCGGTGAGGCCGGCAATGGAGACCGCCATGTGGTCGTCAATGACAAACAGCTTCGGCTGGTGGCCAGAGAGCTTCTTGGTCTGCCGCAGAAGACCGGCAATGACCACATGCTCGTCCGACCGCAGCCCGAGGGTAGCACCGCCCTGCTTCACTGCCTCCTGTGCATACTCGATCTGGTGGAGACGTCCCATGGGCGAGAACGTCGTCACGTCAGAGTCGAACATTGTCCGAAACATCTTGCCCTCCGCTCAGTTGACGACGACAAGTACCCGCTCCTTCCGTCTCTCTGTCGGCTTGTCATCGTTCGGCTCGTGGGTCGGCTCGTTGGTCATCGGTCGCTGTCTGGATGGATTGATCGACTGCAGGGTTACTACAGGTATGTGCTTATGTATATATATATATTTGTGTGTGTGTATGATCGGGGGCGATGGTGGCTTGATGGCCGGGATCTGGTTGACGGGGGAGGGAGTGCGGGGGAAAGGGGGGGGACCTTCCATTGGTACGACCGCAATAGGGTTGGGCATACATCTCTTGTCGTGCACAGCCCCACATGAGCATCGCACCTTTTGTCATGAACGAGTTTGAGGGGACAACGTGCCTCATGCTGACTGATAGCCAGTTTATGGTCCGCACACCTGTATTCGAGGGCCACGGCGCGCTGGGGAACGGCTACGACTGGGCGGCGGTGGCCGAGGTGGTGGCAGGTGATGTGCTGGCCGCTGGCCAGGCTGACGAGCTGGACTACGATCCTGAGGCTGGCATGATGTGTGTCTACGGCCCGCCGGCTGTGCTCAACACCCTCGCGGTGGCCATGGCCGCCATCTTCCACGACACCGCCGCCCTCGATGGCGTCTGTGCCCGAGCCGAGCTCGACTGATTGCCCTTGCCCTCTCTCCGCTCTCCCCGTTCTGAAATAACCGCAATCGACGACACCACCTCTTGCCGCACCCGATGCGTCCCCCCACCCCTTCCCTACCCACATCGCCGGATCGGCGCCGTACGGCACCTCGATGCTTCCAGGCGTCCGTCACCGCGAGAGCAACCACGTGCGGGCGCGCCTCCCACCTCAAGCCGCAGGCCAAGCAGGCGTCGCGCAGCGTCGGCCGGTGACCTGCAAGTCAAGCGTCGTCGGGTTGTTCACTCTGAGGCGGGCGACAACGCGTCCGAACGACCGTACCGTCAAGGGCTAGTGTGACACACTTAACCCCCACACAACATGAAGCTTGCTGTTCTCGTGTTTGTTGCTGTTGCCCTCGTGGCCTCGGCCTCGGTATGCACCACCATCCACCCCACCCCACCCCCGCTCCCCCCTTTCCCCTTCCCCCACTCTGCCCCCCGCCGCCCTTTTTTGTCCTGCCTCTATTTTTCGGAGGGATCGACGGCATGTCACGTGACGTAGGCGACCTGAGTGGAGTGAGACCTGTCATGGCGGAGAAGACTCACACAGAAGGCGGGGAGATAGGCTGTGCACAAGATGCCGCTGTTCCCGCGCCACGAGCTGGAGCGGAGCGTGCTCTCTGAGGCGCAGGCATACCTCTCGCAGCGGTACACCGCCCGGCTGACCGGCGCCAACGAGCCGCTCACCGACTACAAGGACGCGCAGTACTACGGCCCGATCTCTCTCGGCACGCCGGCGCAGGACTTTACCGTCATCCTCGACACTGGCTCGTCGAACCTCTGGGTTCCGTCGTCCAAGTGCAAGATCACCGAGCTCGCGTGCGACCTGCACCACAAGTACAACTCGGGCAAGTCGTCGACGTACAAGGCCAACGGCGAGTCGTTTGCCATCCAGTACGGCAAGGGTTCGCTCTCGGGCTTCCTCTCTGAGGATGACCTTGGCATTGCCGGGCTCACCGTCAAGGGCCAGACCTTCGCCGAGGCCACCCACTTCCCGGGCATCACCTTTATCGTGGCCAAGGCCGACGGCATCCTCGGCCTCGCCTGGCCGACCATTGCTGTCGACGGCGTCGTCCCGCCGTTCCAGAACATGGTCTCGCAGAAGCTCATCGACGAGCCGGTCTTTGGCGTGTACCTCTCGCGCGACGTCAACGCGACTGTCGGCGGTGAGATCACCTTTGGCGGCTACGACTCCAAGTACCAGGCCGGTGACTTCCACTGGGTCCCGCTCACCAACCAGACCTACTGGGAGTTTGCCCTGCCCAAGATTACCGTCAACGGCAAGACCATCGCCACCAACGTCCACGGCATTGCCGACACCGGTACCTCGCTCATCGCCATGCCCATGGCCATGGCTGCCGAGTTCAACTCTGCCATCGGCGCCACCCCGCTCCCGACCGGCGAGGCCATCGTCCAGTGCTCCAAGATCCCGACCATGCCCAAGATGGAGGTCACCCTCAACGGCCAGGTCTTCACCCTCACTGCCGAGCAGTACGTCCTCCAGATCTCCGCCGAGGGCAAGACTGAGTGCATCTCCGGCATCATGGGCATTGCTCTCCCGCCCCAGATCGGCGAGCTCGTCATCCTTGGCGACGTCTTCCTCGGCACCGTCTACACCGCCTTTGACAACGGCAACTCGCGCGTCGGCTTTGCTCCCCTCAAGTAAGTAGGATGCTCTGCCTCGACTCGCATTTTCCTCTCGTGCCGAACATGCTCATGTCATAAACTCGCCACGATGCGGCCCAGCCAAAGTGGTGTTTGATGGAACCGCACGCTACACGTCGATGCTCTGCGTGGACGACGAGAGCGAGAACCTGCGCTTGTCGTCGTTGTTGGCCAACGCTGCCAGGTCCGGGAAGCTCGCGTCGGACTCAAGAGACGGGTCGTCGTCCGAGAGCGAGAAGTTCTCAAACGCAGCCGAGTCCATCGTGTAGTTGTGCGGCGGAGACGGAGGTGCTCCGCTGGGATCAGCAGTCAGACCCGGGTCTACTGTGCGCTCTGTGCTTGACGTGGCGTCTGCGTCTGCATCTGCGGCGAGGGCGACCAGGTCGATGCTTGCGGTGGTGCCTGCAGCCACGTCAGCGTCGGCGCTTGAGATGGCGGTTTCAGCGGCATCGACGTCACACGAGGCAGTCGACGAGCTCGCGTATGCCGTAACGCCAGGATTTGCAGTCGCTGCAGGGGATGACAGATCGGTTGCATCGGAGAAGCCCGCGTAGTCCTCGACGGCCACATTCTGTGTCTCGGTTGTCGCAGCGACTGCGGAGACCGAGGCGGAGGCCGAGGCCGAGGCTGAGACCGAGACCGAGGCCGAGACCGAGGCGGAGGCCGAACCCGATTCGGACTCAAAGTCGTCCATGTCGAGATCAAAGTCAACCTCGGTGTCGTCAGCACCAGCGCCGGCGGCAGCACCAGCGTCAGCACCAGCGCCGGCGCTCTCCTCGCCCTCGTCATCATCTTCACTCTCGCCCGTCACCGCGCTCAACGATCCATCGTCCGAGGTGGGTACATCCGCCAGCGAGCCACGATCAGACGAGCCACCAGCAGCAGTGCTGGGAGACGCAAAGTCGTCGTCGTCCGCATCCATGAGCCGCTCAAACTCGGTGTCCGGGAGCATGGCGGCGGCGGCCGAGTCTCCAGCGGGCAGCTGCGCCGGCGGAGGCGGGCTCTTCTTGCGGCGAGCCCGCTTGGCCGAGCCCCAGGAGCCGCGGTTGCGGGCGGAGACCCGCGGGTCGTAGGCGCGGCGCTGGACAATGGTGGCCTTACCGCGCTTGCGCTCATCGAGCGAGTCGATGTTGTGGAAGAAGCGGGCAGTCTTGGCCTGGTCGGCCGCCGCTCGCACGCCAAACTCGTACCGGGCCGCAAAGTCGCGCTGCATCAGCGTGAGCAGCTCGTCCTCGCGCCGCCGGACCGCCTCGGCCTCTAACCGCTGCATGCGGTTCTCCAGCGCGGCGATCCGAATTCGCTGCGCACGGATGACTTTTGCCACCTTGCGGGCATGCGAGTCCTCGCGCTTTTGCTTCAGCACCGCCAGCTCGGCCCGTTCTAGCTCGTCGGCATTGGCCTGGACGGCCTCGGCCTCGTCGTACCGCTGCAGCCGGGCCAGTGTCGCCTCACGCTTGCGCAGATGGTGCAGTCGGGCCGAAAACCGCGGGCGGAACGGCATCGCCCGCAGCCGGGCCCACTCGGCGACGAGCTCGTTCTCGTGCTCACGGGTCACATCGTCGAGCACCGCTACGGCATGCTCCTTGAACCGGGCGATGCGGCGGTCCCAGAGACGGGCCTTGGCCTTGTACGCCTCGCGAGCAGCCTCAGTCAGATTGCGGGCGGCAGTCTCTGCGGCGTCGGCCATGCTCTCCAGCACCACAGCCTGCTCCGATGCCAGCACGTAGTTGATCTCCTTCTGCAGCTCGCCAGCTCGCCGATAGCCTCCAGCGGCGGCAGCCTCATCCCGCTCGCGCTGCAGCATCTTCAGCAGCCGCAGCAGCTCCTCCTCGGCCTCGCTGCCCTCGGTCGCCATCCCACCCGTGCTCCCAACGACGCTCCCGCATGTGCTCCCATCCTCCCGCCCACTCTGTCCCGTCCCCCGTCGCTGGCGCCGCGGCTGCCTGTCCTCTTCCCGCCTGCGGCCGACCGAGGAGGCGGTGCTGGCTGAGGCCGAGGCCGAGGCCGAGGCCGAGGCCGAATTGGTGCTTGCTCGTCGTGCAGCAGACATCACCATGCTCGTAGAGGCCACCTACTGCAGAGTCAGATGGTATGTTGTATAGAAGGGGGAGGAGGAGGCTGTGGTTGTGGGCTGCCAGGCAACGGACGGCTGGGACGGGATCGGCACTTGGCACTTTGCCAGACAGACACCATCGTCGCTTGTCCGCCCCCCCCCCCCCCCCTCCGGGGCTACCCCCACCCACCCACACCCACCCACACCCACCTTACCCACCCCACCACCACCATGGCGTGGTACCAGAACTACGGAGCAGCCAAGGCGCTGATGCAGGGCGGTCACAAGAGCCGACAGCAGAGCAGGCTGGGCGGAGTGTCGTCGTTCTCGTGCTCGTACTCGTCAGCCTACGATGAGTATGTGGATGCTGATGGAGAGTTCCACTTCCATCACAGACACATCCATGGTGTACATCGCCATCATGATGCTCGTCATACACCCTTCTACCGCAAGCGTATCATCTTTGTCGTCACACTCGTCGCTGTCGTCGTCATTGCCGCCGCACTCGTCGCCAACTTTGAGGACCTCTCCACTCTCGATGCCATCTACTTTACCTGGGCCACACTTACCACGGTTGGCTACGGTGATATCTTCCCCACCTCTGCTGGTGGCCAGGCCACAGTCGTCTTTGTAGGCATGCTTGGCCTGGCTATTCTCTCGCTACTCATCACCATCATTGCCGATGCCTCTGCTCGTCGCGTCAACAATGTTGTTGCCCGCCTCGCCGAGGCAGGCACCGCCGATCCTTATGTCCAGCTGCGGAACGAGCCTGTGGCATGTGCAGGCCGCAATGGCTGTGCCATGCCTGGTGGCCCGTGCTGCCTGCCGCGGTTCGAGTGGTGCTCGCCCTGCGCCCGCCACGCATACAAAACACCCGTCGTCCCGCGCTCGCTCCATCCGCTGTGGAATCAGGTGTGGGTCGTCGACACCGACGCTCTAGCCGTCCAGCAGCACGAGGCGGCACCAGCCTTTGACGATGCGGGGCTGATCCTTGAGTTTGAAGTGCTCGACTACGACGTGGCCAACGCCGACGACCGCATCGGCTTTGCCTTTCTCGCCGTCGCCGACGTTGCGCCCGAGTGGCGCGACTTTGAGGCTCGCATTGTGCTTGATGATGACATCGAGCCGCTCACTACCGGACCGCCCACCCTTCACCTCTCGGCCCGCTGCCTACCGGGCACCTCGTGCATCGAGGTCGTGGTCATCGGCGCGGTCAACTTGCCGGTCATGGACGATTATGCCGGCCGCCAACTGCTCTCTTCACTCGTCTCCAACGCGCTCGAGCCGACCATGGCAGTCCTCTTCTCGGCAGCTTCGGTCCTCATCGGCGGCGCCATCTTTTCTTTCATCGAGGACTGGCGCTACTTTGACGGCATCTATTGGGCGTTTGTCACCGTCAACGCCGTTGGCTTTGGCGACTTTGCACCCACCAAGGACAACTCGCGGCTACTCTTCATCCCCTTTACCGTTCTTGGCCTTGCCGCGCGCGGTTACGCCATCGGCGTCGTCTCCAACGCCATCCTCACCCGGACGGCAGCCTCGTACGTGACGTCGGCCGACGCGCTGCACGGCAAGCTGACCCAGGACGACATCGACGCGGCCAACAACCGCGCCGCTTCACGGCCGTGCTGCGCGTGTTGGTATGGCCCATCGGGCATATTCTTTCGCCACATGATGGCCGCCGTCGCCGTCCTCGCCGTCTCAGTCCTCCTCGGCTCGCTCATTTACCTCAACGAGCCTGAGTGGACCTGGGGTGACGGCGTGTACTTTTGCTTCATCACCCTCTCGCAAGTCGGCTACGGCGACTTTGTGCCGACCAACGACGGGACCAAGGGCTTTGTCATTGTTTACTCGGTCCTCGGCACCTTCATTGTCTCCATTACCATCGCCATCATCTCCAAGTCCAAGGTCGACGAGGCCCAGTTTGAGCTGCAGGAGAAGCGCGACGCCCGCATCCGCGACTTTGAGCGCTCGCTCAAGGTCGCCGACTCGGAGGCCCCGCCCGATTCTACCTATGACGAGCAGCACGAATCGTACTCTGACTCGGGCTCGAGAAGCCCGTGTCTGTCGTCGGCGTCAGGCTTTACGCCGACATCGGAAAGCGGGGAAGCGGGTGAGAGTGGATCGAGCGCCGCGGCGCCAAGATTTAAGTCCAGCAAGGCGGCTGCCGGCGCCATCGCCGCCATCCGTGCCATCCAGCGGGCCGAGGACGAGGAAAAGGCCGCGGTGCGGGCAGTGTGGCGGCGCAAGGTCGCGCGGCTTGCCACCAAGGTTCTGGTCATGACGCTCGCCTTTGTCATCCTCAATCTTGTTGGTGCCGCCATCTTCATGGAGCTGCAGGATCCACCGATCCAGCAGTCGGGTGAGTATGGGACTGCGGTATACTTTTCGGTAGTCACTCTCTCGACCATTGGCTACGGCGAGATTGTGCCCAACTCGACGCCGTCCAAGATCTTTGTCTGCCTGTACATCATGGTCGGCCTCGCGTTCTTTGCCACTCTTCTTGGCGTCCTCGACGACACCACGGCCGAGATCTTCCAGTCTCCGGCCGACAAGTCGTCGTACTCATCATTTACCTCGGACTCGGGTGCCGACGGCGTCTTCCGCAGGCAGTTCCGCTCGCACAAGGGCCATCAGGTCCTTCCGCTCTGGCGCGGCCCACGCTACGGCGAGCACAACGAGACCCGTCTGCGGCGCGCTGGTGCGCTTGTCCCCGCTGCGGCCTCGGACGAGGACTCGGGCATCGAGGCGTACTACACCTACGACTCTGTCTCAGACTCATCGATTTCGTCGTAACGCACCTCACGCAAGCGCTTTGAGCTTGACGCCCTCGTGCAGCGCTCGCAGCGTAGTCTCTAGCGCCGTGTCGGCGTCAAAGAGTGCGAGCGCGAGCTGACCGACAGTCGCCATGTCCTCGTCGCCGAGGTAGTCAAAGGTTGATGCCACAAGCTCGACGGCGCCGGCATACATGTGGCGGGCGAGCGAGCCGTCCACCAGCGCGCCGTCTTCGGCAGCCGCGGGGAGAGTTCGCGCTTCGGCGAGCTTGGTGGCCTCCGGAGTCGCCGACACCGCCGGCCAATCCGAGCCGACGGTGCCGGCGACAGCAAGGAGCGTGTCGAGGAGCGGGAGCGCCGCGGCGAGCTCGCTCCTGTTACGCGCGTTAAATACGACGACGAGCCCATCGTTCCACAACCTATCCCAGAACGCCTGCGCAAACGCGAGCATGCGCTCCGAGCCGATGCCCTCACCGTTGTCTCCAGCGAGGGCGCGGACGCCCGAGGCGAGCCCTTTGAGACCAACCTTGATCAGCGCTGGCTGGTGAGCGTGCCGGGTGGCCCAGAGGCCGAGCTCGATGCCGGCGGCTACGCCGCCATCGTCGAGAGCGGCCATGCAGCCAGCCAGAAGCTTACCAGCGAGCTCAAAGAGCGGCAGACGGAGCTCTGGGAGCGAGCTGGTGTCTTCGCCAATGAGGATCGCGCCGCGGGCGAGGACACCCTCGGCAACAGCGGACACCATGTCGGGTGTGAGTGAGTCGCCGGCACGGGTGACAATGGCGGCGATCGGCGCAAGGAGCTCGGGCAGAAGCGCGTTGACCGGGGCGTCGGCAAAGACGGCGACCAGCTCGCCGAGCACGCCCCAGACCAGGTCTGGCGAGGCGAGCAAGCCAGCCGGCACTACGCGGAGGCCTGCATCAAGGCCACGGAGCAGCGAGCGAACTGCCATGACCGAGCCGATGGCTTCGTCGACCGAGCCGGAGGCAGCGGCGTCGACGACCCGGCCGTGGAGGCCGAGGGCGAGGTTGGTGAGTGGAGCGGCGTAGGCTTCAAAGAGCGCGGCGTAGTGGATGCCGAGCGCGCGCGCCAGCACTGCATGTAGCTCGGCGAGGTGCATGACAGCCGAGAGCACGCCCGGGAGCTCGCGGTCGGCGAGGGCGGCCGTGAGCGCGTCAACATCGATGGGCTGAAGGAGCATGTGGTCGATGGCGGCTAGAAACTCGTCGCGGACCTCGTCGGCGCCGGCGTCGCTTGCGGCGCGACAAAGTGCAGCGACAATGTCAAAGTAGGCGTCGCGCAGTATGTGCGCGCCCTGGGGTGGCGGCCACGACGCCGTGGCGGGGACCAGCGCGCCTGCTAGGGTTAGCCAAGCCTCGACGAGGACCGGGCTGGCGGCGTCGAACGAGATGTGGCTGAGCTTGGCGGCGGCAGAGGCGACGATGCGAATCAGCGGCGCGAGGCCTGCCGCACCTGCCGATGACGCCGCATCAGTGGCAAAGTGAGCAAGCTCGACAGCTACCGTACCCGGGGCACCGAGGCTCTCGCTCGCGACGCACCACGCTGGAAGGAGCGAGGCGAGAAAGTAAACCCGCGCGTGCGAGTCCGAGTCCAGCGGCGGACACTCGAGCTGGGCGAGGACACCGAGGAGGGCGGCAAGAGCCGACGACGGCGCCGATGGGGCGAGCGAGGTGAAGGCCCACGCGAGCCGGACAACCGCGTCCGGCTCGCCAGAGCCTATGGCCACCGACGCTGCCGCAAGCACCTCGCCGGTGTTGCGGCTCTCTGCGAGCGCCATCGTTACCGAGGCTACAGCTGGCGCAAGCGAGAGCTCGTAGCTCCCCGAGAGCGGTGGCGAGAGGAGGGTCCACGACTCTGCGTGCGAAGCAGGCGGCGCAAGCGCTGGTCCGTCGGGCTGCGGCGCAGCGGTGAGGAGTGCGGTAAGGAGGCGGCCTGCGGGCGGGTTCGGGAGCAGCGAGTCGAGGCCGAGCGGAGCACAGCCGGCGATGGCGGGAGGCAGGCCAGCGGCGGCCTCGACAACGAGCGAGCCGACGGCGGCGGTGTCGTCGTCGTCGAGGCTAGCGGCGGCCGCGTCGCGGAGGAGGGTGAGACCGGCGGTGACGGCAGCAGCCAGGAACGTGGCGGCAGCGACAAGGGCATCGGTGAGGACGTCAGCCGAGCCGTGGACGGCGGTGACTCGCTGAGCAATTGCGTCACAGCTGGCAGCGTCGGCGACAAACTCTGTGGTGCGCACAATAAAGGCCGATGCAAGGCTCGCCATGTGGACGACCACAGCCGGCGCAGCCTCGACCCACTGCGGCAGATCGGCCGCCGGCGGGAGGGCCTTGGCGACGGCAGCAAGCAGCGCTTCGACCAGCGCTGGCTGGAGCTCGGGCTCAAGGCCGTCGGAGGCGGCGCGAACGAGGGTAATGTCGGTCTCGGTTTGCGCCGCACGCTTTGCGGTGGCATCGCCAAGACGCGCGAGAGCGACGAGGGCAAGCCAGGCGTGCCGGAGGCCACGGCGCGAGGCCGAGGCCGCAGCGGCAGCGGCCAGCTGGGGTGTAGGGCAGGCGGCAGCCGACATGAGGGTGTCCAACAGCTGGCTGGAGAGGGCGAGCGCAGGCGGCATCCACTCTGCAAACGAGGCAAGGGCAGCGAGGGCAGCGAGCGAGAGCTCGTCGTCGGGCGTGGCGGCGGCCTCGATGGCGAGATGGACAATGACCGGAAAGTCGAGCTCAAGCTGGTGGGCAAGCGCGGCGCGACGGTCGGCGTTGACGACGGGCGGGGCAGCCTTAGAGCCGATGCGCGCTGAGCCCGGAGCGAGGACAGCGACGACGGCGGAGGCGAGATCGGCAAGAATGCCAAGATTGGTGACTGCAGCAAGGCGCGAGGATGCGGCGCCTTGGACCAGCTCGGTGACCAGGCCCGGCCAGTGCGCCGGCCAGAGCTTGTTGACGGCGAGGGTGACGACCATGGAAGCAGCCTTGGCGGCCAGGGCAGAGGTCTCAGCAGCGGCATCGCGGGCATCGTCGGCGGCGTCGGCAGCTTCCCCGGCCGGATCCGAGCCTGCAGTGTCTGCAGCAAGCGCAGCGCGCGTGGCGTCTGCAGCGGCCGCCTTTGCGCCATCAGCGGCAGCGACGGCAGCGGCGAGAAAGGCGGTGAGCCACGAGGCGATGGCCTCCCACTGATGGAGCGGGACGAGGCGGGCAAAGAGCGGGTTGGCGATGGCATCGTCAAGGAGAGCAAGAGCAATGGCCCGAGTTGGGCTGTACTCGGTCGAGTCGACAATGTCCGGCACAGTCTGCCATGCGCCCGGCCAGGCCTGGAAGGCCAGCAGTGCCTGGTTGGCCGAGGCAGCCAGCTCGGGCTCGGCCGCCGACGGCTCGAACAGGTCGCGGACAACAGCGTCCAGCGCAGGAACAGAAAACGCACCATCGCCACGGGTGGCGGCAATGAGTGCCGCGTGCCTTTCCATGCGTGTGTGTATGGGGGTGTGGGTGAGTCGTGTGTGCCCCTTCGCCGTGCGCGCCAAGTGCCGCCCAGCCGGCCGCCCAGCCGGCTGACGAGGCGACCGATAGAGGGACCGACCAGGCGACCGATCAGGCGACCGATCAGGCGACCGATCAGGCGACCGACCAGGTGACCGACCAGGTGACCGACCAGGTGACCGACCAGGCGACCGATCAGGCGACCGATCAGGTGACCGACCAGGCGACCGATCAGGTGACCGATCAGGCAACCGACCAGCTGGCCGATCAGCAGACCGGCAAGGCGACCGATGGGGGGGGATCAGGTGACCGATCAGGCGACCGTCCAGGCGACCGATCAGGTGACCGATCAGGTGACCGATCAGGTGACCGATCAGGTGACCGACCAGCAGACCGGCAAGACGACCGATGGGGGGGGGGGGGGGGATCAGGTGACCGACCAGCTGGCCGCCCAGCAGACCGGCAAGGCGACCGATGGGGGGGGGATCAGGTGACCGATCAGCTGGCCGATCAGGTGACCGATCAGCTGGCAAAGCCTAACTCACAGGCAGCCAACCACCACAGTCAGTTGATGGTCGAAGGGCCAAGCCATGACCACCAGCCGATCATCCTCACCAACCAACCTCACGACCCAACTCCAACTGATGGCCATCGGACACTGTCCCCGTCCCAGACTCTGAGAGAGTCCAGCCACTGCAAGTGAACCGATCGTGGACCACAAGGTTGCGCTTCGCTGGTCTATCGGGGGGGCGATGCATGGCTACACGACCAACGACTGACATTATTGTTGACAGAATGGCCGAGGAGCTGGTCTGGCCAGACCTACAGCCGAGGCTGCCACCAACAGCCCATTCCTTCTCAGCTGACCCAATTCCTTCTCACCGCCATTCAACCATTGTCCCCCATTCATTATTCGTTAGCCACCGCATGGTGCCACACCCCACCCCTCACCCCCCCACCCCCCCCACCCCCCCTCCCCCTCCCCACCCCGCACCATGTCGACAGCAGGTGGGGGAAGCCTCTCTGCAGAAGACGCACGTGATATTTACCTCGCCAAGGCAGACGACCTTCAGCTTGCGCCGTCTGCGGCGCGTGAGGCGCGGTTCACGGCCGTCCTCCGCAAGCGATGTGCCAACGGCGTCTTCTCCTTGGCCAACTCGGGTCTGGGCATGAACGGAGCTGCGGCGGTGGCTGCTGCGCTGCTGTACGACAGCCAGTTTTATCGACTTGACTTGTCGGGCAACATTGTTCAGGATGACGGCGCAAAGGCTCTGGCCGAGATGCTGAGGTCGAACACCGGTCTGGTGGTCGTTGATCTGAGGTCCAACGACATCGGTCCGGCCGGCGGCGTGGCCATCTTTGACGCTCTGCTGCACAACGCCACCGTGACCACGCTCGACTTGTCCGGCGTCTCGGGTGTGAACCGGAACCACATCGGCATCAAGGGCGCACGCATGGCTGGCCAGACGCTGCGGTCGAACCGGGTCCTTCATCGCATCTCGCTGCGGGAGAACGGGCTCGGGCCCGAAGGTGTCGCCGCCCTGGCCGACGGCCTGGCGCTCAACTCGTCGCTGGCGCAGCTTGAGCTCGGCTCGAACAACATCGGCAAGGACGGCGCGAGTGCGCTGTCGGCCACGCTCCGCGACGGCGACTCGGTCCTCTCGCTCCTGCATCTCGAGCGGAACGACATCGGCGATACCGGCGCGGTGGCGCTCGCCGACTACATCTCGGTCTCGTACAACATCACTGACCTAGACCTTTCGTCGAACAACATCGGCGAGTATGGCGGACGGGCGCTGGGCGAGGCTGTGGAGAACAACGGCTCGCTCACCGCGCTCAACCTCGAGCACAACCGGCTCGGGGCGGCAGGCGCGACCAAGATCGCCCAGGCCGCGCAGCGCAACGCCAAGCTCCGCTCGCTGCTGTTGGCTGACAACAGCATCGGACCTGAGGCCGCGCACGCACTTGGCGATCTCATCCGGCGCAACACAACCATGACCAAGCTCACGCTCTCGCACAACCAGCTCGCCGACGACGGCGCGCGGGCGCTGGCGACCGCGCTCAAGACCAATACCTCGCTCGTCCACCTCGACGTCGGCTACAACTCAATCACTGATCCTGGTGGCAAGGCATTTGCTGCCGCCATCCGCAACAACACCCGCCTGCAGTTCCTTTCGCTCAAGTGCAACTTTCTCTACGACCCCGCGGGCGAGGAGTTGGCGCGAGCCGTCAAGTTCAACTCGGCTCTTCTCACCTTTGACGTCAACCTCAACGACTTTGACTACAAGTCGTTTGCCGAGATCCGCCGCGCGCTTGAGGAGAACCGGGCCCGCTACAAGGCGCACACCGTCGACCGCTTCACCTCGCGCATCCACGCCCTCCAGTCGGAGGAGGAGCGGCTGTGGGACACGCTCGAAGAGCTGGCCGACGAGGGCAAGGCCCGAGATGCCGCCGCCTCGGACGTGGCCCTCCTTCGCACTCAGTACGACCGCATGCAGGCTGCTCAGGAGGCGCACATCGCAGACCTCGAGCTCGCTGTCCGCAACAAGGTTGCCGAGCGCGAGGCCGCCGAGCTCGACGTCCGCACCAAGACCTCGGCTATCAACCAGAAGAAGCTGGAGAAGGACACCCGGTACCGCAACATCACGTCGCGGCTCGTGCGCGAAAAGGACGCGTGCGTCAAGCTCGACAAGAAGATCAACAAGTGCCGCCGCGAGCTCGACGCCATCGCTGCCGACTCTGAGGAGCAGCTCGAAGAGTGGCGCGCCGTCCTTGCCCAGGAGCAGGCCGAGCTCCGCCTTGCTGTCAAGGAGCAGCAGTACCAGGAGCAGCTACTTGCCACCCTCACCGACTCGGGCCCAGCCGCCGCCGCCGTCGCCGCCGCCGCCGACGCTGCCGGTCCGCGCCCCAAGAAGAAGCGTCGGACAAAGGCCAAGCGCTCTGCTGCCGGTGGCAAGCCCAAGACCAGGTCCAAGACCAAGCGCAGCTCGGCGGGCGGCAAGCCCAAACCCAAGCGCAGCCCGGGGAGCAAGGCGGGGAGCAAGGCAGGGAAGGCCGGGACCAAGGGGTCGAAGCGCCGTCGCCGCCGCAAGGGCGCGGCAGCCGCGGACACTCCTCCTACGGCTAATGTCGATACCGACGCCGCCAAAGCCGCCGCTCCATCTCGTGCCACCGACGCCGACGCCGCCGACGGTCAGCCAGAGCCGGCGCCACCCGCAGTCACCGTCTCGTCGACCATTGATTGAACGACGCCCACAAGGTAGCCTTTCATAGGGTTCAAAACTGTGTTCATTGCCACTACGCCTCAATCTCGGTCAGCTTAAGCGCCTTGTTCGAGTGGATGGCGATGACGAACCGGCCGAGCTGGCCGGGCTTGTAAGTGGTGGGCACGATGATGTACTTGCCCGGAGCGAGCTTGGTCTCGCACGAGACCTCGCGCAGGGACGAGAGCTTGCCCGAGGTGGCGACACGGTCGCCCGAGCGGGCGTACTGCGGGTCGATCTTGGACGATGCGTCCTTGGTGTGGTAGATGGAGAACGCAATGTGCTCGACCTCGTTGTTGAGCATGTCCTTGGCGAGGGTAACAAAGGCCTCGGTGGGGACCGAGACCTTGAGGAGGAACTGCGGATTGTCCTTGCACGTGTCGTAGTTGACGCACCCACCAGCGGTCTCTGCGTCCCACTGCGAGGCGATGCCGGTGGCATGCCACGAGTCGGGGAAGAGGCGGCAAACGTAGAGGTTGCGGAACTCGCGGACAAAGTCGTCGTAGCAGATCCAGAACTCGCCGTCGTCGGCATCGACCCACCCGAGCTTGGCCTTGAGCCGGCGGGTCCACAGCGGCGACTTGTCGCTCCAGTCGCCGGTCCACTCGACCTTGCCCCACGGGTTGCGGAGCTTGATGAGCCGGTGGCCGTCGACCTCGACCACATCGAGGATGGCAAAGGCGTGGCCCTGGACAATGTTGTTCTTGGACGTCTGCGTATCCTTGCCTGCATTGGAGCCGCAGCCCATGAGGTACTTGGCCTTGCGGTACTTGAGCATCTTCTTCCACACCTTGCCGGACCGCACGTCGGCCTCGTTCTCCTCCTTGCGGAACTCGACCATTTCCGACTGGCCGCCCGTCATGTCGACGAGGCCCATGTGAACGAGTCCGCCGTTGAGCGCCTTGTACGAGCCGTACATCTTGGCAAACGCCTTCTCGAGAATCATGACCCAAAGCTCCGCCGCATCGCCGTCGCCGGTGTGCGCGTACAGCGGCTTGCTGTTGGCCATGACCGGCAGCGTGAGTCGACAATGACCCGCGTCCACTTGCCGCCAGCCCACAGCTTGACCCCATACACGCCCTCCTCGTTCGGCTCGTCCGTCTCGAAAATCTCCTGCACCCGCTCCGGGTACTGCGCAACAATGGCAAAAGCCGAGAGAAGCCAGCAGTCGCCGAGTGAGCCCTGCCGGATGTCCGATGGCTTGATGCCGTCGGCCTGGAAGACCTCGATCTCGCCGTCGCCCGGCTCGTCGCCGTTGCGCGCCTCGTAGATCTCCTCAGGCCGCATCCACCCGGCGCACTTGGTCTTGGACTTGAACAGCACCGAGTCGTCGGCTGGGAAGTCATCGTCTGACCACGGCTCGCCCGCTCGCCTGGCCTTCTTGATCAGCTTGGCCGGCGACGAGCCGATGACCGGCGCTGTCCGCGGGTCAAACGAGAGGCCAACGTCAGCGCCGAGCTCCGAGTACTCGTCGTCGTCCTTGCCCTTCCGCCGCTTCTTCTCGAGCTCGCGCTGCATCTTGCGCCGCGCCTCGTCGCGCTTCTTCTGCGCCTCCGAGTCCTCCTTGCGCCGGTCGTCATCGCGCCGCCGCCGCATCTCAAGCTTGGCCAGGTACGCCGTCAGCCGCTCCTGGAACTCGGCCCACTCGTCGTCACCCCACCGCTCGATCGCGCTGGCGGTGAGCGGGTACTCGGGGTCGTTGTACTCGTCGGTCTCCTTGATCATGGCCGAGATGATAGCCTCCTCCTTGGTCCGCTCTGCCTGCGCAAGCACCAGCGTCAGCTGCTGCATGTGCGCCACAAACCGCAGCTCAGACTTGAACGCTGCCTTGATCGCCGCGTCGTACCGGAGCAACTCAAGGTACGAGTCGCGCGAGCCGAGCTCGTTGGCCTCAAACTCGCGCCGCTCGGCCACAATCTCGCGCCAGCTCGCCGCGCTGCCGTCAGCGCGCAGGAAGCGCCCTGCCGCGTCCATCGTCACCGTCGCTGACTCGGCGTCGTATCGGTAGCCGCTCGACGGGCTTGACTCGTCGTACGTCTCGGACGAGGTGCCGTAGCGCGCCTCTTGCTCCTCATCGTACGAGCCGTACTCCTCGCCGTCATTCTCGTCGTCGTCGTCGTCGTCGTCATTGTACTCGTCGTACTCGTCGTCGCCGCCACCAGAGCTGCTGGAAGCACTTCCGCGGTCAGCTTCGCCAACAGTGTCGACCAACTCGAGGCCCTTGGCCTTGGAGCGGGCAGCCTCCAGCGTGTCGGCCGAGATGAATCGGAGCTGGGCACCAAACGTGGCCGGCGGATCCCACAGCAGATGAACGGTGAGGAGAATGAAAAAGGTGACGGCGGCGGCGGTGACGAGAAGGCCGACCCAAGGCGGCGGGAAGAAGAGAGCGGCCGCAACGCCCCAGAGGGCAGCAACAACCAGCGCACCGTACGCGCAGTACACGCCTTTGGACGCCGAGGTCAGCCGGCCTGTCTCGACGTCGAGCTTGTAGACCGGGAAAATAAACTTGGAGAACTGGCGCGGGGTGTTGCGGGCGTTGAACCAGTCCTGGACCGCAACAAGTACGAGCATGACAAAAATGGAGCCCCAGGAGATGCAAAAGCCGAGGAAGCCCGCCTCGGTGAAGGCAACGCCGAGGCCCAGCGCAACCGCGCCGCAGAGAACCACGCTCACAGCCAACCGGTACGGCCGGGTGAGGTAGTACGAGTTGCGGACAAACGAGATGCCGACCCAGACGAGGGCGTAGAAGATGCCCACGACGACAAGGACGCCAAGGCCAGCCCAAAACGGCTTGTACACCAGCATGACGACCACGCCAAAGCCGACCATGAGCAGGAACGAGCTGATGAGCGAGATGGCAATAAAGGCGCCCGACTGGCTCCGCAGGCGGAACTGCCACTTGTCGTCATGCCACTTCCACACACCCACCACAAGGAGCACAAGCGTCGGGTAGACAAGCACGAGGAAGAGGAGCGCAAGCGACCGCTCGTCGACCTTGGAGTCGAGGGTGGTGGTAAAGACGCCGAGCGCATAGCCGAGGAGCGCCGCAATCTGAAGCACAACCGAGACGCCGTTGGTCCACGAAAAGGTAAAGGTGTTGAACCACTCCTTGATCGAGATAAAGGTGCAGAGCGGGACAAAGATGACAAGGCCAATGGTCCACCCGGTGATCTGGGCGTCAAGCCCGAGGGCAACCACCAGTGAGAGGCCCAGAATCATGAGGAGCGTGGCGAGAGTGCCAAAGATCATGAGCCAGTCGCGCGGGAGGAGCCAGAACCACAGCGCGTCGTCGCCGGCGGCCTCGCGGTCGTCAGACGACGAGAGGAAAAAGTAGTCGTTGCGGATCCACTGGACCATGGTGAGCGCGGCAAAGATGATGATGAGCGGGGTGAAGATGTGGAAGCCGAGGACAACAATCGAATCGGTGGTGTAGTAGAAGAACACACCGTTGCCGACAACCACAAACTCGGTGGCAAAGGCGGCGGCAGCAACCGACGGCGTCATGAAAAACTTGGCTCGCTGGAAGAGCCGGTAGGTGAGAAAGGCGAGCGGGAGGACAAGCGACATGACAATCGAGCCGATGCCAAACAGATACTGCTCGCGGCGCTTGTCGAGGAACTTCATGTCGCGCGTCGCTTCCTCTTTCTTGGCCACAAACACAACCTCGGCCACAAACGCCACAGACATCATGAACATGAGGAACGGCCGGGTGAGGATGAGGTTTCGCCACGACATGTCCTGGCAGCGGCTCGACCGGCAGCAGCCAGTTGCAGGAGCGGCCGAATACCCGTAGGACGAGCTCGAATACTCGGCGTCGTACGTCTCGTAGGTGTTGTCCGATGAGTAGGTGGATGGCGCCTTGGCCTTTGCCTCCTCCTGCTCCTCCGAGTACTCGGCGTCGTACTCGTCAGCGTCGTACTCATCGTCGTCAGCGTCGTACTCGTCGTCCTCGTACTCGGTGTCGTAGCCGGCGCCCGACGAGCTCTCGCTCGCGTCGCGGACCATGCCGCCGCCGAGATCGGACGAGCCAAAGTCGGACGAGTTGATGTCGGACGGGACGTCGAGCGAGAGAAAGTCGGGAGCGGGCAGGTTGTCGAGGACAACGCGGGCGAGCGACTCGTGCGCGACGACGGCCGAGCCCGACGACTTGCGGGCCGGGTAGTGATCGAGGACCCAGGAGATGCCGAGGAAGAGGGCGACAAGGACAAAGACAACCGAGTGGGCGATGAACCAGTACCGCGCGCCAAAGCCGATGATGATGCCGCGGACGGCAATGAAGAAGAGCGAGGCGCGGAGCGCGGAGCGGAAAAAGCCGGCGTAGTAGTACATGAACAGAATGATGTCGATGATGAGGAGAGCTCCCCAGTTGGCAAAGCCGACGTACTTGACCGTCGAGTCGTCGATGAGAGTGAGGACGAGAATGGCGTACGCACAGAGCATACCCTGCGCCACAAAGTAGAGGGCAAACGAGCGGACCTGGTTCTGGCTCAGCCGCGGGCCGCAGCAGCCAAAGCACCGCTTCTTGGGCGCCGCCTCATCCGAGGCGGCGCCCTTGACCACTGCGTCGACAAAGGTCTCAAAGTGGATGTACGTCCCGGGCATGTTGAGGTAGAGAATGATGACCATGGGCACAGCGTTGACCGAGAGGAAGACAGCAGAAAAGCCAATGTACGAGAACGGCTCGGTGGCGGTGATGACGCCAAGCTGAAAGGCCATGATCATGGCGACGCAGACGCCGACAGCAATGCCAGACGGGTAGGTCAGTCGCCAGCCCGAAGCGCGCCAGAGACCAAACCCATACCAGCCGGAAGCAAGAGCAAGAGAGAGGAGGATGACGGTGACGCCAACAATGGACGGATCAAGCTCGATTGCGGCAGCCAGGCCCCAAGCCACCATGCCAGCCACAGGCACGCCGATGTAGACGAGAGCAACAATGGCAGCAAAGAGAGTGGCAAACTTGTCAAACCACCAATCATCCCGAAGTAGAGCCATAGCGAGGAAGGACTTGATGCGGGTCACCTTGTACCGCAGACCATAGTGCAGAATCAGGAGGCCAGCCGCACCAAACAAAGTAGCCACAAAGCCAAACTCGAGATACAGCTCAAAGAAGGACCAGTTGGAGAAGGAGCCTGACTGGTCGGCAATGGCCTCGTTGCCCAGGTTGAACCCCATACTCTACAGCCATGGGAGGGGGTGGGTGGGTGGGTTAGTGGAGGGGAAGGGAGAAGGGAGAAGGGAGAAGGGAGGAGCGGGAGGAGGGGGGAGGGGGGAGGGGGAGGGGCGTACTGCAGCGAGTGCGGAACAAGTGGGGACAGGGACAGGGGGAGAAAAAACTGGGAGAGGTGGAGGGGAAGGGGAACAATGGCAGAACAGGAGGGGGGGGGGGGGGGGGGATGGTGGTGGTGCGAGAAACGACCTGGGGATTGCACATTGACCACGCCCACCTGCTTGCAGCACAGGCATCTCTGTTTCACCCACAACGAACGACACCGCTGCGTACACACGTAGTGCAACTCAATCAAATGCTGTAGCCGGAACACTGCTGGAATCGGGGCCACCTTCAGCGAACCAGAGGAGGTTGAAGACGTCAGAGGTGGCAGATGGGGGGGGGGAGGGTGAGGGAGGGTGAGCGGGGGTGAGGGGGGGTATGGATGGCTTGATCACTTGATCAGAAAGATAGATGGCTTGTCATGTTGTTGTTGTAGGGCGAATGGAAGGCTTGATCAGGAAAGATTGATGTCTTGTTGTCGGGGCAGGTTGTGGTCATGTTGGTGGTGGTAGTGTGCTGTGTGTCCGCCTTGATGTGGTACTCGGCCCAACCCCACCGCACCGACTCTACCTTACCGCCCTCCCCAGCTCCGCTGTCGCACCCTACCAGCCACCCACTCAACCCACTCTACCAACTCCCCCCCCACCACCTCTACTCCACAATCTCCACACTCTCTGGTGGGGATGATCGAGGCTGCTTGGGCTTTTCTCGTGGCGGTGGCATCGGCGGCATGGACGGCGGTGACGTGGGCAGGATGGATCGTGGCTGGGGCAGCAGTGCTGGCGGTGGCGTCGATGGTGGGAGGCGCGGCACTGACGTGGATCATTCGCAAGACAAAGGGCTTTGGGCTGGTTGCCGAGGCACCGGTTTCTGAATTGGCCAACGTGGGCAAGACGGCGCCGATGGAGACAGCGCGTGGCGAGGGCGATGAGTCGATCTCGTTCCTCCCGGACGAGGTCATCTCGCAGAGCTGGATCTTCAAGCTCGCCAAGGCGCTCAACCTGCCATTTGCGCGCTGGTTCTGGGGCCTCTCAGTGGAGGGTCTCTCCAAGGTCTCGCGCGACAAGCCATACCTATTTGTCGGCCTCCACACCTCGCACAACCACGACATCCTCGCCTGCATCTTCATCGTGCAGGACGAGACCGGGCGGACGGCCCGCTCGCTCATCCACCGCAAGCTCGCCACATCGCAGCCGTGGATCCGCTTTGTCGGCTCGGTCCCGGGCTACCGCGCCACCGCGGTCAACCTTCTCCGCGCAGGCTACTGGGTGGCTGTCATTCCGGGCGGCGCCGACGAGGCCATGGCCGGCTACGACGCCGCCTACACGGTTCAATGGCCCGAGAGCCGCAAGGGCTTTGCACGCGTCGCCGCTGCCGCAGGCGCAGACATCGTTCCGGTCGTGACCTCCAACTCTGAGGAGATGAAGTTTGTTCCGCTCTTCTGGCTCTGGTCCAAGCTCGGCGGCGGCGTCCTCTACCACAAGCTCCTTGCCATTCCGGCCCTCAAGCATCCGGTCCGCACTGTGGGAGTCATTGCCTGGTTCATCAGCGCATGGATCTCCATCCCGCTCCCGGTCAAGGCAACCATCCACGTCGGCGAGCCCATCGTCCACGATCCCGACCGATCTGTCGACGACACGGTTGCCGTCACCAAGGACCAGCTCCGCGCCCTCATCGCCACCCACCAGCCAGGCGGCCTCTCGTACTTGGCCGCCCTAAAGGCCCGGTGGTTTGGCGGCTCCAAGCCCAAGGCCGAGTAGTGGTCGAGTTTGGCTTGCGTTGCCACCCTTATCGCTCGCGCCTAGCCCCTCGATGCTGGTGCCCCGGTCGCGAGACGTCGGGCAGAAGACAGAGCCCGCCCCTCCGCGCTTCCATCGAAACGGGCACTTCATCGAAGGTGACTGCACGCGTCCAACCCCCGCAACCCATGCCGGCGGCAAACCCACGCGTGTTCCTTCGTGCCTAAAACGAATGGTCAGCGGTAGTTCCGCAGTAGTTGCACCGGAGAGACGACCGCGCGTAGCTCGCCTTGGGAAAGCGCGCAAAGAGCCGAGGAGCTCTTCGCCCACTCGAGGAGGTTGTGGCTTCGCTCAAGACCAACATTGAGCATGGACTCTCGTCATCTCAGGTTGCTCGCCGTGCTGCCGAGGCTGGGGCCAGCAGTGTCACGGGCTCGACCGTTGACGGCCAGATCTCCGGCGGTGGCGCCTGTTGCCAATGGAAGAACAGAATTGTGGCCAGCGTGTTCAACTCGATGCCGACCGTCCCCGGGCTCATCCGCCAGCTCCCGCTCGCGTCTATACTTGTGCTTCTTGCTACCATCGCATGGCTCTTGCTTGCAGATGGCGGTGCCGAGTCCGCCATCGCTCTCGCTGTTCTCCTCGCTCTCCACATCCTGTTGAAGCTCGGGCGCATCGGCTACGGGCTCGTACAGGCCCGCGGGGTGGATGAATTGCAAGTAACTGTTGTTGATGGCCACGCTATGACTTTTGCGACGCGCAACAGCAAACGCTGCGCCGTCGAGGTCAAGGACCTCGTGCCCGGCGACATCATCGCGCTCGAGCAAGGCACCTTCATCCGAGCCGCAGTCCGGCTCGCCGGCGCAAGCCGCGAGTTCAAGGTCGACACAGGCTCTACCATCATCTGCCCCGATCTCGGGACGAGCGTCTCTAATGTGCTCCTTCCGGGCACCGCTGTTTTGGCCGGCGGTGGGACCGGGGTTGTCCTTGCCCACGGTGGCAAGGTGCCGGCGCAACTGCGGATGCTGCTGGACGAGGGCAGCTATGCGGCGTCGAGCAACGATGGCGCGCCACAGTCGCGTCTCCCGCCCGGTACACACCGGCCTGTCAAGTCATGGTTTGCACTTTGCGTCCTCATATGCTTTGTTGGCGTCGTTGTCGCCGCCATCCGCGCAGCAGACGAGGCGTCAGCTGGATCGAGCCGTGTCGCCGAGCTGGTGGCCATCACGGTGGCTATCGCGCTTGCCATCATCGCCTCGACCTCGTTTACCATCTTGTGCGACATTGGCTACGCGCGAACGGTCTTGACCTTCCTCAACCGCAAGAACATGGTCGCCTGTCGCCATCTCGAGCGTGATACGCTTGGCTCACTGGCTTCGATGACCACGCTTGTCATGTCACACCGGCACCTCGGCGAGGAGGGCACCGACGTTACTGCCTTTGCTGTCGATCTCGAGTTTGAACGTGCAGTGCGCGATGAGCTGACTCGCCCGCGGCCATCGGCTCATGACCTGCTGACCCGTCTTGCAGCCGCTGACGATACCGCTAGCTACTACTCCACCGAGCTCTTGGATGGATGCTCGACGAACTCGTCATCAAGGGCCTACTCGGAGGAGCTGGCGGCGGCGGCATCGGCAGAGGAAAGTAGCAGCGGCCTTCCTGGATTGAGATCACCGAGTGCGGCTCGTCGTCGTCGTCGGATGAGGAGCTGACGCCTGGGCAAGATGTGTTGTTTAGGCTCCTGGCCTCACTGGCAGGGAGTCACATGAGCGACATGGATGTGGAGCCCGTCTCGTTGTCGTGGATGCGCAGCGTCGAGCAGCGCACTGCGTTCGACGCCGGCGCGGTGGCGGCAGCTGCCCACCTACAGGCGACCGATGCGTCGTTCTCCGGCTCGTATTTGGCGGCTTTTCCCGACTTTGCCGTCGGCCCGTCGGCTGAAGTCTCGGCGTTGTTTGGCAAGCCAAATCGCGGGACGTACCTGGTCCTGCTCGGAGCACCGGATGCTGTCATCAGACACACCAGCGCCGCTAGGCAGTCCGCTGGAACAGCAGCACGAGCCGCAGAGGCGAGTGGCCGCAAGGTTTGGGCTATCGCTGTTGCCGCGGTGCCAAGTAGTGTTGCTAAGGACGGATCAATCGCATCCTCCGAGCTCAGCCACACTCGATTTGCGCTCGTCGGCTTTGTCGCGCTTGATGGCTGGCACGTTGTCCCGCACGCCCGCAGCAGCATCTGCGACAGCATCCGCGACATCCGCGAGGCTGGCGTTGACATCGCTGTCTTTGGCTGGGATGTTCCCGAGCGGCAGCTCCGCTCCGGGGCAAACGAAGTCGGGCTCGCCAAGCGCAACCTTGCCCACGGCAATACGCGCGCTGGCCGTGAGCTCATTTTGGGTCTCGAGTCCCGGGGCGAGACCGTCGGCTGCCTGGTGTTTGATGGCGACGACGGCCGCGCCTTTGATCGCGGCCAGCTGCTGATGTCCAACAACCCAGAGAACTCGACTCACATTGACTCTGTCTCGCTGACGCAGCCTGTGCTCGCAACGGTGGCACCGGCCATTGTCCGAGCCCGTCTTTTCTACGTCTTCCTCGATGTGGTTCTCCAGCACTGGCTCGCACTCCTCCCGTTTGTCCTTGCGCCTCTAGTCTTCTTTGGTGCCAGCGGCTCGCTCCTTCTCCTTCCAACTCCGGCGTACGTCGCTGGTCTACTTGTCTCGGGCAATCTCATCGCCCTCTCGACGTGGCTGGCTTCAACGGATCTTGAAAGTGTTACCAACGTGTCGCGCGAGCTGATGGGCTTTGGACGCACGGGATGGGCTCGGAAGGTCGCGGCGTTTGCGGTAGGCTGCATCCTCGCCGTCATCACGACATACTGGGCGGCGACCGAGGCCAAGGTGGCCGGATGCACCGATTGCCTCACCAGGTTTGACTCTGAGGCGGTCTGCCATAGCTCGCTCGTCACGGTGACCGCATCTGTGGCTGCCATGTGCGGGCTTACGCTCGGCACCACGCTCGGAGGCACAACCCTGCTCTCCGCGCGCCCGCTCCCGGTTCGGGAGCTCGCTGCGCCGATCGCCTCGATGGCAGTCGTGGCTATTTGCAGCGCAATCGGCAGCCCGCTGGGCTTTTGTGTACCCAACCACAAGCGCGGCAGCGCAGTGGCTCGCATCGTCGTCTTCAGCCTTGCTATGTTCTTGGTCACCGGCATTCTCGCCGTCGTTAACGTCGCCCTCCTCCGCCGAGGACTCGGCCTCGGCTCGAGCGCCGCCGCAAAGTAGCAGCGATTGTCCTCTCTACTTTCATCATTAACAACATCACCATCTCTACCATCAGCATAGCGCTCCCGCCTTGGATCTGGCGATGACTCGCACCATCGACCGGGCAGCCGACAGCAGCCGGCAGCCGCCAGGTGGGCGAGGCCGCAGGCAAGCAGCACCGCACCCCGCCCAACTGCGGCACCATCTTTCTACATGGAGAGCCTTCCAACAGAACTCGTCCACCACATCCTCGTCCAACTCGGTGTGTCATCGCCAGCCTCCCTGGCGGCTGTGGCATGTACCTGCACCCGGCTGGCTTCCATAGCACGCGATCCGTTCCTTCTTCGCCGCATCTACCGCATCCGCCTGGCACACACCGCCATTGCGCCCATCCATGCGCCACCTGAAGGTGGACGAGTGGCGGATACCGACTGGCGAGGGATGATCATGGCGCTTGACTCGTTCCTGACAAGGCGCCCCGTCGAGATTGTGATCTCGGCGCCAAGCACGACTGTTGTGGTCGTCCTCCCACTCTCGGCTGCCATCGCCGATGCTCGCGAGGTGGTGGCCGAAGCGCTCGGCTGGCCGGCCGAAGAGATGCGGCTCGAGCTGGGCGGAATGGTGCTTGGGTGGGGGCTGCTGCATCCGACGGCATCGCTTTGGCGGGCAGGCGTGGTGCCCGACGCTGTGGTGATGGCCAAGATGCGGCTCGGGTTTGGGAACAGCAGAGACGAGCTAGCGACAGCGCAGCTGTACAGCGTAGAGAGCCTGCCGGCGGCAATGCGAGGCTTTCGTGACGGAATGGCACCGCTTCCGTGGGCGGCAGACGATCCGTGGCGGCTGCACATGCTGCAGGCGCCGATGGCTGCGCTCGCACCGATCAAGTTTGCGCTCAACTTTCCACGGAAGCATGCTGTCTTTCAGTTCTCGCTGGCGATGGAGGTGGTGGTGGAGCTGCTGGCGGCGGGCATCGAGTCAGTGCCGTGGATCTTTACGGCGCTATGGAGCGTGGTCTCGCTTGGTGACACGACATACGTTGTGGACGGACATGGGTACTTTGTGGCGGCAACCGGCACGTTTGCGTTTGTGGTGGACGGCCCGCTTGATCTGGTCACCACCTACCGCATCCACGTCCAGCTCCGCGACGTGCTCGGGCTTGACTTTGACCACGAGCCTTGGCTGATTGACACTGGCGGGCTCGAGTGAGTGGCGGGAGGCGCATTTACTCCTCATCCTCGGCCTCGAGCTCGACAAGGATGGCGTCCTTGTCGACAATGTCGTTCGGCGAGAACGAGACAGCCGAGACTACGCCGTCGCGGGTGGCGCAGATGGTGTGCTCCATCTTCATGGCCTCCATGACGACGAGCGGCTGGTCGGCAACGACAGCGTCGCCGGGCTTGACGAGGACCTGCAGGATCTTGCCAGGCATGGGCGCGTTGAGCGAGCCTGCTGAGCCGGCGAGGGTGGCGTCGAGGAACTCGGGCCGCGGCAGGTCAAAGGCGACGCGTGTGGGTCCGGAAAAGAGGTGAACAGCCGTGCCTGCGGCTTCAAAGACGACCTTGGCCTTGAGGGTGTTGTTGCCCATGCGGGCGACGAGGGCGCCTGTCTCAACGTCGTACTCGCCGGTGACGTTCTCGAAGACCTCGTCGCCGACGGTGATGGTAAAGTGGCGCGGGACGCCGCCGACGGTGTTGGTGGTGATGTGAACGTCGACGTCGCCGAGGGCGAGCGAGGCGGTGCGGTCGTGGTTGGGGCGGAAGCCGGCCTCGGTGGCCCAGGGCGAGGAGGCGCCGAGGACCGAGGTGGCGCCGTGGGCCAGACCGGGGTCTGCGGCGAGGGCCGAGGCAAGGGCAGCCATGGCGTGCGCGGTCGGCGCGATAGGCCGCGGGGCCAGGAGGTCATCGCCGTACTTGGGGATGAAGCCGGTCTCGAGGCCGGTGGCGTCGGCAAAGGCCGGGTGGTCGAGGATGGAGCGGACAAAGGGAATGTTGGTCTTGAGGCCGACAATGTGGTAGTCGTCGAGGGCGTGCCCGAGCTTGGCGAGGGCGGCGGCGCGGTCAGGTGCCCACACGATGAGCTTGGCAATCATGGGGTCGTAGAAGACGGAGATCTCGTCACCCTGAACCACACCGGTGTCGACGCGGACCGAGTCGGAGACCGGCGGCGGGTCGAGGTGCTCGAGGGTGCCGGTGCCGGGCAGAAAGTCGTTGTCGGGATCCTCGGCGTAGATGCGGGCCTCGATGGCATGGCCGTTGATGGCGAGATCGTCCTGCTCAAACGGCAAGGTGGCGCCGGCGGCAACCTGGAGCTGGAGCTGGACCAGGTCCTGACCGGTGATCATTTCGGTGACCGGGTGCTCGACCTGGAGGCGGGTGTTCATCTCCATAAAGTAGTACGAGTTGTCGGTGGTGTCGACGATAAACTCGACGGTGCCTGCACCAACGTAGTTGACAGCCTTGGCGGCGGCGACGGCGGCGGCGCCCATGTCGGCGCGCCAGCCCTCGTCCATGCCCGGCGCCGGTGCCTCCTCCAGCACCTTCTGGTGGCGGCGCTGGACCGAGCAGTCGCGCTCAAAGAGGTGCACGACGTTGCCGTGGGTGTCGGCAAAGACCTGCAGCTCGATGTGGCGCGGAACCTCGAGGTACTTTTCGATGAGCACGCCGTCGTCGCCAAACGACGAGAGCGACTCGGACTTGACCGACGCCAGCGAGCGCTCGAGCTCGGCCTCGGACCGGACAATGCGCATGCCCTTGCCACCGCCGCCCATGACGGCCTTGATCATGATCGGATAGCCGATGGTCTTGGCCTCGGCGGTCAGCCGCTCAAGGCTCTGGTCGTCGCCGTAGTAGCCCGGAACGACCGGCACGTTGGCGGCCTCCATGATTTCCTTCGACTTGGACTTGGAGGCCATGGCAATCATGGCCTCGGGCGGCGGGCCGATAAAGGTAATGCCCTCAGCAGTGCACTTGCGCGAGAACTCGGCGTTCTCCGAGAGGAAGCCGTAGCCCGGGTGGATGGCCTGCGCGCCGGTCGCCTTGGCCGCCTCCAGAATGGCATCCATCTGCAGATACGACTCGGCCGACGGCGGCGGGCCAATGCACACCGCCTCATCGGCAATCTTGACATGCAGCGAGTTGGCGTCCGCCGTCGAGTGCACCGCCACCGTCGCCGTGTTCATCGCCGCCGCCGACCGCATCACGCGCGCCGCAATCTCTCCCCGGTTGGCCACCAGAATCTTCTTGAACGCTATCCCCGTCCAGCGCATGCACGCGCAGTCACAGACCATAACCAGGCGACCAGCCCCACCGACGAACCCACGCAATATAAGTGACTGCCCCTTCCCCTCCCCCTCGCCCCCCCCCCCCCCTCCGCCCCCTCCCTCCCTCCTCCCCCCCCCTCCGCCCCCCTCCCGCTGTCACTCCATATGGCCATGTCGGCCTCGTCCACCCCGCCACCCATGCCTGCAAAGCCTACCACCACCACCACCACCACCACCACTACCCCTATCCCTACCCCTGCTCCTGCTCCTGCTCCTGCTCCTGCTCCTGCTCTCGCTGAGGTGGTGGCTGCCGGAGCCAGCCCTCCTCACCCGCCGCTCCCTGAAAAAGTGCCTCCCGTTGCTGACGAGGACGTATTCCGCCATGGCCCGCGCGATGAGAAGGTCCAGGTCTCGATCGAGCCGCCCACACCCACTCGCGTCACCCCGGTCTCATCGCCGCAGCTGCTTCCTTGTGTGCTATCGGGCTCGGACTCGGGATCAGACTCGGGATCAGACTCGGGATCAGACTCGAGTTCATGTTCATCGTCGAGCTCGTCATCGACGTCGGGATCGTCGTCCAGCTCAACGTCCTCGGCTTCCGCATCGGCATCCTCGTCTTCATCCCACTCCTCTGCTCCCACGCCCGCGTACATCCATCCCCGGCCTAACACAGTGGCGGCGTCGGCGTCGGCGTCGGCGTCGGCGTCGGTGTCTGAGTCGGCGTCGGCGTCGGAAGAGGTGCTGTTGCCGACAACGACGATGCGTCCTGCTGCCATGGCTGGCCCGCCGTCTGCCGGTGACGAAGCCTCGTTCAAGTCGTCGTACTCGTCATCGTCCTCACTCGAGGACGGGCTGGCAGCGAGCTCGATGCCGGCGCGGGTGGCGTCGCCGGTAATTCCGAGCGGGATGAAGCCCAAGACGCCAAACCGCCCGTTTCTGGTCAAGCGCAAGAACTCGTCGTTCATCGCGCGCATGGGCGCAGCTTCTCTCATCGACCGCAAGCTCTCGATCGAGATCAAGCGGGTCATCCTGCCGTCGACGTCGGCGGCCGCCGGCTCGTCCAAGGCCTCCAAGGGCATGGTCTACTGCTCGGTCTCGGGCGGCGGGTTGTACGCGCGGACCGACACCAAAAAGCTGCACACCTTTACCAAAACCGGCTCGGCAAGCAAGCTGATGGCGTCGGGCCACTCGACGCCGCGCAACAGCGCGATAGTCTCGGAACCAGTATCGCCGCCGTCGCCAATGACGTCCAGCATTCCGGTGACGCCACGCAGGATCATGCCGTCGGACCCGACCGCCGAGCCGTCGGTCGAAGTCACGTCGGCGCTGCTCACGCCGACACGCCGAGACTCGGACGCGCCGTCGCCGGTCATGCGCAACAAGTCAGACGACCTCCTCACCGCGATCATCGAGTCGGACGGCTCGCGGCGCTCGTCACTGGCGTCTAGCACGCGAACCGGGCTCTACGCCTCGTTTGCCGGCAAGACTTTTGCGCTCTCACCGGGACGACCCAACTTTGAGGTTTTTCTCATCACGCTTGCTCAGGAGCGCAAGAAGAAGGACCGCGTGCTTGGATACGTCGAGCTCCCGCTCCGCGACATGAATTCGGGTGTGGTTGTCCAGTCCGAGTACAATCTGCAGCCCAAGACGACGTCGTCCAAGCACCACGTCTCGGGCGAGGTCCACGTCAAGCTCCTCTACGCCAAGTCACACCCGGGCAAGCCCGACGCGCTGCACCTACAGGTGCTGGAGGCGTCGAACCTCGCGCCGCGAGAGGGCTCGGCCGCCAATCCGTGTGTCTCGATCTGCATCGGCGACACCGTCCACAAGACCAAGGTGGTCAAGGGAACAACCCACCCGCAGTTCAACGAGCGGTTTGTGGTGCCGGTCGACGAAGACAAGGTTGCCTCGTTCACCGTGCTCGTCAACCATGTGGTGAGGCGGAACAAGGATGCTTTCCTAGGCCAGGTCGTCTTTCCTCTCTCCGACTTGCAGCCAAACGTGGTCCAGGACTGCTGGCTCAAGCTCAACCCGCGGGTCTACGACGAGGTCTCGTACTCGGGCTACCCTGCACTGCCCGGAGCCTTTGGCCGGGTCAAGGTCAAGTTTATGTACACCGAAGACATCACGCTCCCGCTCCTCGAGTACAAGCCGCTCTGCGAGCTGCTGTTTGGTGGACCTGGATGCGACGACCATGCCGCCGTCCGCCTCCTCTGCTCGCTTACCATCTCGTCCAAGTCCATGGCCACCGCTCTTGTCGACGTCGGCCTCGCCCTCTTCCGAACCCACCCGCAGACCGGCAAGGCCGACGGCCGGCTCATCGACATGCTCGACGTCCTGCTCTCGATCGACGTTGCCTCGGTCCGGGCCCACTCCTCAACCATTTTCCGCGCCAACACCATCTCCTCGCTCGCTGTTTCACACCTTCTCCGCCGCGCCGGCGGCCCCTCCTTGCCGACATCTACGGCTCGCTCTTTGAGCGGCTCGCTACTCTCTGCCCGCCCTCGGCCGAGTTTGACCTGGCCACCGGCGGCGAAGCTGCCCTCGCCCTCCTCACCACCGCCATCAACGACCTGCTTGGCGTCATCTTTGCCTCGATCAACTCGATGCCGCGCATCCTCCGCGAGCTCTTTGCCCGGGTCTACCGCATCGTACTCGACCGCCCAGCGGCGGCGGGGCCAGCCGCCGGGAGCACCGCTGCACATCCCGCCACAGACACCGAAACCTCGCTGTCGTCATCGTCGTCGTCAGGCTACTCGTACTCGGACTCGTACTCGTACTCGGACACCGAGTCGGCATCGGCGTCGGCATCGGCGTCGAGTGCACAGGCCGGCGGCAGCCCGGTCGGCGCGCGGGCCGCAGGCCGTGCCTCGGCCCGCGACGCTCTCGCCCTCCAGGCCGTCTCGGCCTTTGTCATTCTCCGCTTCTTTGCGCCGGCCCTTCTCACGCCAAAGGTCTACGGCATCGACGCCGAGGTGCCGATGAACAAGCCGCTGTACCGAACGCTCGCGCGCGCCCTGCAAAAGATCGGCAACATGCTACTGTTTGACGGGCGGAAGAACCCGATGCTGGTGGTCATCAATCCGGTCCTTGCCTCGCACTTTGCAAGCATGACCCAGTTTCTTCGCGCCGTCTCAGAGCCGGCCGCCAACTGCATCGACCCGGCCACGCGCCCGCCGCTCGACGCCTGTCTCGAGTCCCTCTCGTCAGCCCGCAAGTCGCACATTCTCAACATGCGGACCAACCTCGCGTTTATCCTCGGGCGACTGCTCGATGCTCGCGCCGACGGCACCGGTGTCGACTCTCCGGCCATGAACGAGGTGCTTGACTCGCTCTCGTCGACGCTCGCGCGCATCTCGTCCATGTCGTCGTCGCAGCACATGACGTCGAAGGAGTTCAAGGCCGCCAACCGCAAGCTCGCCACCATCGGCAACCTTGCCGTCGACCTCAAGTCGTCGTTTGCGGGCGGCTCAGACACCTCATCTATGGTCCTCGAGTTCCGCATGCGGAAGCGCATCACCTCGGGGAACCAGTTTACCCTTCACACCAAGGGCAAGACTAAGCCGGTCTTTGTCGCCTGCGTCATCGCTGACAATGTCTTTACTCTTGTGTACAAGACTCGCATCTCATCGTCGGACAACCTTGTCTCGCTTGGCGCCACCTCGGCCCCGCCGCCGCTCTCTCGCTCGTCGTCCGGCGGCGCCATCGACATGACCCAGATCATTGACGTTGTTAAGGGCCAGGTGACAGAGACCTTCTCCAAGTCGGGCAAGCTCGAGCAGCAGCACCGCTCGTTCTCTGTTCTCACCGCAGATGGCGACTCGCTCGACCTCGACGCCGCAACAGAGAAAGAGCGCAACGACTGGGTCGCCGCCCTCCGCCACTACGTCAAGAAAGCCCGCCTCGCTGCCAAGAACTCGGGCGCAGACTTGCCGTCCGGCCCGCACCGTGGTCCGTTCTCGTCCAAGAGCGAGACGAGCAAGTCGAAGAACAAGGACAAGGACAAGGACAAGACCAAGGGGAAAGCCAAGAAGGCCAAGGCCAAGGCCAAGAACAAGGACAAGGCCAAGGGCAAGGCCAAGGCCAAGGACAAGGACAAGGCCAAGGACAAGGCCAAGGACAAGGACAAGGACAAAGCCAAAGCAAAGGCCAAGAAAGCAAAGGCCAAGACCAAGGCGAAAGCCAAGAAAGCCAAGGTCACCGCTGCCGATGCCACTGCTGGCGTTGGTAAGACCGCTGGAAAGTAAAGTGCCCAGAATGCTGTCTTTCAATCGATGTCATGTCACCCGCTCTCGGTGAAGAGGTAGGTGATGATCGGCACAAACTCGCGAATCTGTGGCTTGGATGTGAGGAAAAGAAAGCTGGAGACCGAAGCGCGGTCGGTCGGTGGTGGGCCTGTCTTGGCTCCAACACCAGCTGCATCCGGTGCGGTGTCAGAGGCCGTGCTTGATCCCGAGTCGGAGCCCGACCCCGAGTCTGAGGACGAACCGGGCGAGCTAGCATCCGCGCCTTTGCTCGGGGCAGCGCTCGCAGTCGCAGACATGGCAGACGGATTGGGCGCGGTGAGCTCGGCGAGAAAGGCCGAGGTTGACGGATCAAGCGCACCCGAAGACGATGGGTAGGCGGGCCGACCAACGGTGTGTGCGGGGGTGATGCCAAGCAGGGCGTCGAGCGCGCGTGACTCGGCATCGTCGACTTCGATGGACTCGGGCTGCGGTTCGGGCTCACATTCAAGGTCAACGTCATCGAGGATCGAGACAAAATTGGACGATGCGGTCATTCGCGCAGACTGCCGCGACAGGGGCGGATCTGCCACCGACGGCGCAGGTGTTGCCGGTAGGCTAGCCGGCGCGGGTGACATCGGCGTGCTCGGGGCCGACCGTGGCGACACGCGGGGCGTATCAGTTAGCTGCGCCCAGACATAGACCAAGCCGGGTGACGTGTCGATCGGCGCGTTGTTTGCACTTGGATCGAGGCTTGCAGCAAAGACGCCGTCCGAGGTCTTGAACAAGACTATGCCATCGTTTGGCCCGACAGGCTTGGTCTTGGAGACCACCACTGCGACAGCGCCGGGGAGCTTGAGCCGGAACTCAATGACGGATGCAGTGCGACCGACAGGGAGCCTGTGGGCGAGCGGGGCGTAGAGCATGCCACGGCGAGAGTCAAACTCGGGATCGCGGACAGCAGGCTCGGCGCCCTCGGGCAACGACTCGAGCGCGACGCCACCGTCGTCTCCGGCGAGCATGACGTCGAGCACGGCATCGTCGCCAAACTCGCCTGCAAGGTCGTCCCATCCGGCGCGGCCGGAAAGCACCTCAAACTCGACGCAGGGGAAAAAGGGTGAGACGTTGGTGATGATCTGGCCGGTGGCATCGTCGTGGTTCATGGTCACGGTTCGCGCCCACACATAGATGGGGCCCGGCGACGTGAATGTGGCGTGGCCTTCAAAGATGTACTTGGAGCCCGGGATGGTGATGCCGTCGAGCTTGCGGGTGCGCGCCACCTTGGCGTACTCTTGGCTGCCCGAGCAGACAAGTTCAACGCCGTCGGTGAGCTCGTACGGCTGGTCGCGGGCGATGACCACGTTGGTAGCGCCGGGGACCTTGATGGCAAAATAGGTCGAGGCCGAGCGCGAGACTTCCTTGAAGAGGGGATGGAGAACGACGCCCGATCGCTCCTCGAGTTCAGGCAGCGGCTCCAGGAAGGTGACTCGCGACGGCGGCAACGCGTCGCAGTTCATCGAAAATGACATCATGCAGTCGCCCTGCCCGGTGTCGTAAGCGGCACAGACCTCGCCAAAGAGTGGCGGAGGTAGCGGATGGGCCCGCGTCGGTCGTCGTCGTCGTCGTCGGGGCGGAGGTTGATCGGAAGAGGGTCTGGATAGTCGGCGTCGACATCGGCACCCACATTGTCTTTTCCGTTTGGAGAGTCGATCTTGAGGGCCGAGGCGTAGCGGCCGAGCCGCGCCGAAGACTTGCCGATGTGTGCCTCCCGTGGCGCAAAGATGCGGAGCATGTACCGACCGGGCGTGTTGAACATGGCGATGATGACGTGGGTGTAGCCGTCAGACTGGACTTGGACATGTCCACGGTCGTTAAAGTCACCGAGGTAGGTACCGGTCTCGTTACAGAGCTCGGCGGTGACCTTGGCAAAGTATTGCGACTCGACGATGAGGGTGGAGACGGTACCCATAAGGTTGCGGACGTGGGTCCGGACGTAGGCGTCGACAGCGAAAAAGGTGTCGGAGAGCGCGACCTCGTCCGAGGCAAAGCCGCCCTGGACGCCATGGGCCACCCGCCGGTACTGATATCGGATCTCCTGGCCGACGACTGAGAGCACGACAATGACGTTGAGGCAGACAACAAGGATGACAACGATGCCGATAAAGGTGACAAGCGCGTTGCTCGACGACTCGGCAGCAGCGAGGAGCATGAGGCCACAGACAAGCACCACGTCCGAGCAGATGAGGCAGAGCGTCTCGAGACGGTTGACCCGACGGGTGAGATACGGCTGGGCGTAGACGTGAGCGGCGCCCGAGAGTGAGATCGAGAGCAGGGCGATAAAGGCCTGCGCCAGCGGGGTGTGCGGGAAGAGAAAGATGGCAATGACAATGAAGAGCTTGCGGCAGAGAATGACCAGCTCCCACTGGAAGAACCGCGGCTTGTAGCGGCGGTAGAGGAGGCCGTACTTGACAATGGTGAGTTCGCGAAAGAGCGAGGCGCGCGCGACAAAGAGGACCGAGAAGAAGAGCAGCGGAATGCCGACACCGTAAACAACAAGCGAGACGATGGCAAGCGGGAGGAAAGTCGACTTCCATTCGGCCGAGCCGCAGACAACCTTGGGATCGCGGACAAGCTTGCCGTTCTTGTCGCAATCAAAGGCCTCGCAGGTGACGGCGACAAGTGAGAGGTACAGCAGCATGAGAACGGTGATGTATGCGTTGACACAAGCGTTGCGGAAGAGAACTTGAGTGACATGCGTGACGCGCGGGAGACGGGAGGTACGAGCGTAGCCGCGCGCGTACGCCATCCGCCAGCATCGCGCGTAGCAGCTCAGCGCGAGAATGGCAAGGACAAACATAACGGCAAAGACAAGCGGAAGCGAGAGCTTGAGCATCCAGACCTTAAAGTAGGCGATGGAGCCACCGGCGAGTGCGCATTCGGGCTTGAAGACCGAGATGTTGAGGTTGACCAACGAGAGAACGTTGTAGAACTGGAGGAGGAACGACGGCCACTTGAGCTTGAACGCCGCCATGAGCGAGACGATGGAGATAAAGTTGTACCCGATCGAAGCGGCGGTAAAGTAGGCTGCCGACTTGCGGGCGATCTTGATGAGGACAATCATGATGACGAGCATGATGGCAAAGAGCAAGACAATAAGCAGCGGGCCAAGGTTTGGGCATGGCTTGCACACGCCCGACTCTTTGAAGAAGCCAGGAATGCAATCCTCACACCGAATGCCGACGTTGCCACGTGAGCAGATGTTGCCACGGCTGCAGATGTTGGCTGGCGAGCACGGGGTGAAGACGCCCGGCGGAAACTCCCACCAGCCGTCATCAGCCTCGGGTTTGGCGGGGCCACCGGGGCAGTACATGCCCTCGACGCACGGCACACATGGAAAGGCGCCGCGGGCTGGATCGTAGTACGTCCCCGGCGCGCAGGCCTCGCACAAGTTCTGCACGTTAATGAACTGGCCCTCGTCGGGGCAGAGACACACGCCCGACGGACCGAGGACCATGTTGACCGGGTCAGGACACGGAATGTTGACCTCAAAGGTCGAGACCGAGGTTCGCTGCCAGGGTACGTCGTCGTAGGTAAAGTTGAGCGACGAGGAGTAGGTGCCGGGCACAGGAGCGAGGACGATGTCGATGGCGAGCGTCGGACCACCGGCGCGGGGAAGACAAACGGCGTTGTGTCGACGAGGACCAGCGCCGACGGATCGGACCCGGGTGCGTGAAAGACGCGGACACCGTTGGGTTGCGAGCCGAGAATGAGGACCGGATCGGCGCCGGTGTCGACGTCGGCCACGGTGATGGTCACTGTCACATTGCCGGGCTCGGTAAGGGTGGCGAGCGTCTGTGACATCGAGAGCAGCGCGGGCTCGTCGACGTCGGTCACTGTGAGTGTAAACGGCGGCGTGGAGAAGCTGGGGTCGTCGTCCGAGGTCCAGACAAGGACGCAAGGGTTGGGGCCAGTCATGCTCTCAAAGTCAACGCCTGCGGTGTAGGTGAACAAGGTGTTGACAGCATTGGCTTCGACCTGGACCGGCGGCGGCGTCGCAAATTCACATGTCGAGAGACTGGCGTCGAGCGAGATCGAGGCCGACGAGGGAGCGCCGTGGACGATGCTCGCAAAGGCGATGTTCTCACCTGTGGTGATGCTAGAGACAAGTAGGGCAAGTTCGACACGAACAGTGATGGCGGGCGACGTTGCAGGAGTGGCAAGGGCTGCTGTTGGTGGGTAGGTGTCAAAGTCGGGGCTTGTCTGGGTATAGGCAACAGCTAGGACGTAGTAGCCAAACGAGGAAAAGACCGGGGCGGCCAAAGTGCATGATGACGCCGACGACATTGTGCACGACTCACCCGAGGAGATCGACGCGGCTGGAAAGGTGACGTTAAGGACCGAGACTTCGATGGTGCCCGAGGTAGTGACTGGCGAGCCCAGGGCATTTGTGACGCCAAAGGCGACAGTGTCGAGGCCAGTCGGATCGGAGACGGAGACAGCCGAGGCCGAAGCAGCTCCTATGGTGACGGCCACCGGCGGGTGACGACAGGTAGTTGGCCATGGCCCGTTGGGAAACGATGCCCCGTTGCAGGTGTCGGTCCGCTTGGCGTATGGTGTGGGCACCTGCTGCGGATCGGGACAGGAGAGGGTGCAGGACACGCCAGCTTGGACGTCACTGGCGGTGCACGACATGTGGAGGCCAGGGATGTTGTACGGCGGACAGCAAGCATGGTTTCCGCAGAGTCCGCACGTGACCAACCGCACGTCGCGGGCGTAGTCGGTGCCGTTCGTAAGTGCTCCGTGCGGGTGGTGGGAGAGAGCGGGCCATCGTAGATGGCGACGGTGTAGATGGTGCCGGGCCAGTGGCGATCAGTGCCAAACTCGTCGAAGAAGACGAGGTTGGTAGAAGACCAATCGGCGACAATGCTGCCCAGCGATTCCGAAGGCGAGTGGATGGCAGTGTTGTCCTTGTAAACCGTCCGCGAACCGCCCGCATACTCGACCACGAGATGGGTGGGAGTGTTGGCGACAAAGACGTTTGTGCCAAACACATCACCGCACACGTTGCTGCTCTGGCCGACGAAACGGAAAGAGGCCTGGGTCGTCTCCTGGGCGATGTGGACCATTTGCTGCGCCGGGCAGCTTGCCCCGTGAGAGAAAGTGACGATCCGGGCCGGCCCGTCTGCGGCTGTACCGGCCGGCTCTGCCCAAACCTCGATAGCGAGCTGGTTGGAGGCCTGAAAGGCAGACACATACTTGCTCAAGGGTGCGGCAACAACCCGCGAGCCAACGCCCACCGCTCGAGTGAGGCCCTGTGCGGGATGCCACGTAAAGTGGGCGCCGGACAAGGTGCCATCAGCTAGCGGCGATACGCCAGATCGATCGACAACCGTGGAGCCAGACGTTTCCGTAAAGGTGTAGAGGCCAATGAGCTTGCCATCGGGTCTTGAACCCGAAACCGTCGAATCAAAAGCAAAGCATCCAGCGCGACAAATTGAGCTGTCAACCACGCAGTGTGTGCAGCCAGTGGCAACAGGGGTGAAGGCGGGGAAGGAGGCAGGACACGCTGCCCGACATGCCACACATGCTATTGTGAGAACGAGGAGAACAACGGCGAGATACGAGGGCATGGCGTGCGTGTGTGTTCGGTGTGGAGGGATGGAAGGGGTTGGGTGGGGGTGGGGGGGGGGGGGTGGGGGGGGGGGTGAGGTGAGGAAGCTTGCAAATCGGTGCAAAAAGGTGCAAAAGGGGGGGTCTGTGCGGAGACCTGCCGCGGCACGTGATTACCAGCTGTATTGTGATGGGTTGTGTGTTTGGATGGTGTGGTTTTCTTAGGCACGAGGCCGCGGGAGGGGGGGACAGCACCAGCGAGCAGAGTTGCGAATGCGATCAGGGTCGGGCAAAGCCACGGCTGTGCATACTTGCGCAGCGTGGGTGGCTCGCCGTCATGGGACATCGCTCGGTAGGTCGGCAAGCAGGACTGGGGAAGCGTTCTGGATGAGAGGAGATGGGGGGCTAGAGCAGCTGCTCCTCGTGCATCTGGTGGTGATACTGGGCGCGATGGGCCGGGCCGAGGGCGCGAATGACAAGATCGACAGCCTGGTCGATAGCAGGTGCGTGGCCAAGGGTGAGCTTGGAGAAGACCAGCTTGCCGTCGACGTAGAGCTCAAAGGCGCCTGTGGTGGTCAGCTGCGAGACGAGCATGTTGGCGACAAAGTAGTAGACGACAATGTGCATGAGCTTGGACGATGCCAGGTAAAGCAGTGCGTCCGGGACCGGCACATCAAGCCAGGCACAGATCTCGTTGGCGTAGACAACAACGAGGGCAAAGAGAGGGACGGAGAACATGATCATCTGTCCGAGAGCCGCCCGAAGGGTCCCGACGGGGTAGTTGGTTCCGATGACCTCGACGCCCGGCGCGGCCGAAGCCAGCGCCTGGCGGAGGGCGCGGAAGTGGTTAGCGTAGCCTCACGACTGGCAGAAGGCAACAAAGACGCCATGATTCGGTACGACGAGCCCATTCTCCGGCGCGGCCGCCGCCGACGGGCTCGACGGCGAGCCAGCCGTGTCCGAGCCGGCGACCATAGAGCTCACGACCTGGGCCAGAGTCAGGGCTGCCAGCAGGCCAAAGGCAACAAGCAGTGGAGACGTGCCGCTTGTTTCTGTCGCTGTCTCTCCTGCCATGGGCGAGGAAGAGAAAGAGAGAAAGAGAGGTGGTGGGTGTGGGTGTGGGTGTGGGTGGTGGGTGTGGGTGTGAGTGGTGGCGGGAGAGGGGGCAATTGGCTGCTGCTGGGCTGATCGGTTTGGATGATATGGGGATGATCTGGGGATGATCTGGGGATGATCTGGGGAGAGATGTGTTTGGGGCGGGTGTGGGGGTGTGAAGGTGGGGGGTATGTGGGTGTGGGGTAGCGGGTGGGGTGGGGTGGGTGTGATGGGGCAAGCTAGGTTGTGCCATCCTAGCGGCATCCGGGCCGGTGGGGTGGTGGAGAGGCCTGCCTGCCTGGACCGGGGGATGCCTCCTACCACACTTCCATCACACATCACATCCATCCACCCAGGCATCTAAACTCTCTACCGCTTCGCCCCCCTCCCCCTGCTCCCTCCCCCCCCTCCCCCTGCCCCCTCCCCCCCTCGCCGCCTCACCGCCTCTCCTGGTTTGTTCCCATCTCCCATTTCCCGATCCCTGTGGCGTGGGGCAGACCGCCGAGCATTGGCCTGGCCGATGTGCGACCAAAGGTCGGTCCACGGATAGCAAAGACAGGCACCTCTCTCGTCTCTCGTCTCTCGCCCTCTCTTCTCATCCCCTTGGTCATGGAAGACAGTGGTGACGGTGTTGTCGGTGGCGGTATGGTGGTCGGTCAAGGTGATGGTGGCGGTGGCCGTGGCGGTAGCGGACGGCTTGTTCAGCGGAGGAAGGTGACCAAGACACGGCGGGTGAGGGTGAAGAAGGACGACGATGGGAGTGCAAAGAAAACGGAGAGAAAGGACAAGAAGACGGTGGTGAAGGGCAGTGAGATGGATGATGATGTGGAGGGTGTGGTTCGAATCGGATCGGTCTTCCCGGAGCTGGCAGAGCTGGAGAAGATGCCGGCAGACATCAAGATGAGGGTGTTGAGAAAGTGGAGGGAGGATCGAGACAACCAGATCTTGCGCCCGTCGACCAAGTTTGACCTCACTGTCTACTTTATCTTTATCCTCGGCTCGTACATCCTCATGCGCATCTTCTACGGCATTGATCTCCTCGCTGTCGTCCTCGAGCTGTTCGAGATCGCTCAGCACTGAACGCGAGCTCCTCCTGCGCACCACTACACACCCATCCAGCTAGCAGGTAGCCCAAGGAGCCCCATGAACAAAGATGGCACAACACAGCGCCCAGCCGGTGGAGGTGAGTGCCGCCGCCTGACCGTCACCGTGGGCAGCCACCTGACTCATCGCGTGACCATGGCGGACAAGCTCGGCTGGGTGGAGGACAAGCTCCGCCAGCTTCGGGAAGCGTATCACATCGAGTTCCGTGGCTTCCTCACTAACCACGCCTCCCACGGCGTCGCTGTTCTCGCTGCCATGTTCCCGGACAACCCGGCGGCAGTCGATGCCTACCTCGCCACCTACGTCCGGCGGCTGGAGAGCGCAGGTGGACCGATTGAACAGGGCCAGGTGGCGCACATTGGAGACGAGCTGGAGAAGCTGTGGGTGCCTGGGAGTGCTGGGAGCCTCTGTGGTGGGCTGGATAACGATGCCAAGATCTTTGCGCCTGGAGTGCCGTTCAACGCGGCTTCCGAGGCGATGACGGGCGTGCTGGCCCGGCACGGACTGGCAGACACTGTGTTTACCTGTCTGGCGGCTGTAGTCGACGGCATCCACTCGGCAGCCTTTCATCCGCTCATCCAGCTTGGCCTTGCGCTCGACATTGACTCGCGAGGCATGATCGCCGAGGCGCTGGCGTACAACCTCGGCGCGCACGACAAGCTCCTCCCGGAGGGGACAACGCCTGAGCTGGAGAAAGCACCTGTGGCAAGTCCGGAGCCATTGGCGCTGGCGGAGACGGTCCGGCAGCTGGCAAGCGTGCTGGAGGCGCCCGGGGAGGATGCTGGCGGCTTCCAGGACCGGGTCCGTGCGCTCCGGTTGCAGCCGCGAGACGCCGCCGCGCTGGCTGGCATTCACAAGTGGTTCCGCGACGCGGCAGGGGCATGGGGCGCCAGTCTCGGAGGAATTGCGATGCTGCTGGTTGACACTGCGCTGGTCCTGTACCACGCCACCCATCACGAGTTCTTTGTGCTCCATGCCGTGACGTCGGCGCACGCGCTGCGGGCGCTGGTCGAGCTTGCCGAGCGCGATGAGGCCGGGCCGGACCGGACCGAGCTGCTGGTCAATGCGGCTGCGGGCTGGTTCACGGCCGCGGTCGCGGTGGTGAGCGTCGAGGCGCCGCGATGGAATGCAACGCGGGTGGCTGAACTTTCCGGTGCGTCGAGCTCGGGCGACGCTTTGGGCCAGCTCGAGGAACTGGTCGGAGCGATGACGGCGGCGGGTGCGGCGCCCGACGAGCATGCGCTCAAGCTGGTTTACGTCGTGTGGCGGGCACGCGGTGCAGCCGCTGATGGGTGCAGCCTGCTCTCGCAGGGAGCACGCGAGGCGGTCGCCTGCGACCTTGTCGAGTGCATCCGGGCGCGCTGGACGGCAGGCGCAGGCGACAGCGCGCAGTTTCAGATCTACGGCCGGCCGGCGGTCGACATGGTGCTGACCGTTGAGCGAGCTGCGCTTTGACCGCTAGAGCTTGGCCTGAGTCGAGGTGACCGGCGGCGGCGGAGAATCAGGATTGTCGGGCGAGACGACGACTCGGTTGGCAAAGGCGCGTTGTGCGGCGGCGACGATGGGCGAGGAGCTGCGGTCGGCATCCGGGATCCAGGCCGGGCCGTCGGCAAGGTCGGTAGAGACCCGCATCTCGACAACCGAGACGCCGCCACGAATCCGCATGTACATGCGATTGCGCGAGCCGGGGCTTGGCCCGGGGTGCTGGCTGTGGTCAGCGTCGCCGGGCAGAGCAGAGTAAGGCGTGCCGTCGGGTGTGGTGCACCAGTTCGGCATGATAGGCGCGATGCAGCGACCTGCGTGTGCATACTCCATCAGGTCCTCCAGCGCGGTAAAGGTGGCCATCTCATGAAGGCAGAGCCACTGCGGTGGAGCGAGCATGAGGGTGCCGTCAGCAGCGGCAGCCAGCGCCTCGCCGGGAGTCATCCACTTGGACGCGATGGTCTCGCGGTCACAGTGAAGCGCGTCAGCGTCGACGGCATCAAGGGCGCCCACGAAAAAGGTGGCGTCGTACCGGCGCGGCTCAAACTCGGGTGTGATCCACCGGGCCCAAGGCGCGAGGGTGTCAAAGGCCATCCGCCCGCCGGCGGCCTCGACGGCGGCGGCAAGGTCGGCAAAGGCGTCTGGAGAGGCGTTGACCTTGCTCCGCCACGTCGACGCCTTGGCCGCCGGCAGGACCGGAAGAGTCATGTCGAGCAGATGGCGGCGAAAGCCGGATCGAAGCGGACGATCAGGGGCTGCGAGGAGGACGCCGGCCTCCTCAAACAGCTCGCGGACGGCAGTGACTCTCAACAGCGAGGTGTTGTACTCGTCTGCGAGCTGAGCATCGAGAGGCTCTTCGGTGATGCCGCCAGGAAAGACATACATGCCCGGCATGAACGAGGCCTTGAGCGATCGCTGCAGGAGGAGGACACGATAGTCACAGCCGTCTGCCGGGCGTGGCTCATCGAGACCATGCGGTGCCACGAGGAGGACCGTGGCAGACTCCTTGGGCGTAGACGGTCGGGTAGCTGGTGTTGGCGAGTATGCAGATGTGGAGGCCATCCGACTGCCTCGGCTCCCTACCACTGTAGTGAGACGGCTCAGCATGCAGAAGAGACAAGTGTGGCTAATGTGTAGGTCGAGAGGGGGGGGGAGGGGAGGGGGAGAAGGGGGGGG